TCAAATAGGTGTTGCCAATTTACGAGAAGTAACATCTGGTAAATAGCAGTCATTGTAAGCCACGACTTGACATTCTGACGAGGTAATTTTCTCTAACTCTTGTTAAAATTTGAGATTTTGACTCTTGAACCGCTCTCCGAATATTGACTTTAATTTGTTGTGTAGATCGTGGCTTAATTTTCTTCACATCAACAGAATTTTAACCATGCATTGCATTTACTAAATATCATTTATAGCTTTTTAATAAATGTAAGAGCATTTTTAAAAACTGTATTCTTTAATTTGTTTTTATTAAACGCAGTTTTCAGATTATATTTAAAAGTTTTATTAAGTTTTTAACATTAAGCGATAGTGTTTTTTTTTTTTTTTTTTCTTCGCATTCTTATTTGAATAATTCAAGAAAATTTTAGTATTCCGATCATTCAACTGGAACTTTACATTTGTTCGAAAGTTTCCTTCAGCTTCGGTTTGTCGAAGTTCTACTGTATTTTGGCATGTTCCTCGTAGAACTTCTCTCTTTTTTGTCTTTAATAATAATGACCTAAATGCAACGTTCATTTAACCAAAAACTTGCCTAATTAACTCAGTTATGGAAACAAAACCAAAACGTACTCATCCCTTTTACCCCAAAAAGGGAGAAGTTTTATTGTTCTATGTATGTGAAACAGCCGCGATTCAAAAAGTTGAAACACTAGAAAACTCGGCTTAGGAGCTATATAAGTTAAACTTTATTCTATAGACTAATAACGCACAGGTTTGAACCTAGCTGGGAATATAAAATTTAATTTATTAAAAAAAATGGCACATATTCAAGGAATACATTTTCATTAATTTATTAATCAACGGAGTTTTAATGTGTGCTCTGTTTAGGATTTAAAAAACTGTAAGTGCTTATTCACGGTCAGAATCAGTTTTGAATTTTTTTAATGTAAAAATAAATATTTTCAGACCTGCTTTTATGTATTGGATTTTCAAAATAAAATCTTCGCATTATTTTTGTCTTCTACGAAGTTTAGTGAAATTAGATGGCTGCTGAATGTATGACGTCACAACAGCCTCGCTTATTGGCTAGAATGCCACCGCCGAGTAAGCATGCGAGTGTTCGCCTATTTTGGATTATCGATTCTTTGCACAAAATTATGGATTAAAATCCACTGCAGAAAGCATAGGTTATTTTACGGTATAGGAATAATTAGAAGAAAATTCTGTATCACCTATTTTGCTGTCGAGAGTATACATTAGTCTACTATAAAACTTGTAGGAATTTCCAAATGTGTTGGAATAATGAATCATTCCGGATCGTGAGTGCAACGATAAATAAAGTGAAAAATCATTTTGGTTATAAGTATTTGTATTTCATTTATTATCAGAATATATTGGAATATTAAAAAAAAAAAAAAAAAAAAAAAAAAAAAAAAAAAAAAAAAAAAAAAAAAAACTCTGACTGTGATATGAGCTATAAACTGCAGCTTAGCGCCATTTTAGCCAAAAGCCGTTCATTTTTGAAATTGTAGAATTAATCGGATATGTTATAAATATTTAATGCAGTTTTGATATTTATGACGCAATTGAAAATACCACTTGAATGTCAGTTTAAGAATTTAACTCGCGTAATTAAAATTTAAAATAGAAAAAGAGTAAATAAAAAATATAAAGGAGGGGCTGGAATAGTAAAACTCATAAAAAATGATTTGCTAGTTTTTTTGGTTTATATGATTACGACAAAGCCTCGAGGGTTATCTGCCTAAGGGAAGGGGTGCTTTCGTGGAAGCACTTTCTAAGGGGAACTGGCTATATGCACGTTACACATGGGGAGAATCACGAAAGCACCCATGCAGCGAGCCCATTCTCAGTGGTATTCGAACCCCGAACAGAACCATTAGTGTTCAGCCACTTTACCGCTCTGCCGCTGGTGGGCTTGTCATTAAACGTCAGATAAAAACTCTGTGCTTATAAACTGCACCATGCGTTGAATTGTTTTTGCCATATATATTCAAGTGATTTAGTGTAACGGGATCTTGAGCTGTATGTATCCATTTTAGAATAAAATGTACGCAATTTGGATTCATTTTTAGTTTTTAAACACAAAATGAAGAATGTTTTGCTGCAACAACCTGTATGTGCATCCGTAGCTTTAAAGCTTACCAGAATGTTGCTTTTATTCGGGAGCTTATACACTCAGCAATATCTTCTAAAACGATGTTAATGTTATAATAGTTACTATATTACAAGAAATGTGATGTGACGTTGCTCCCTTTGCAAAGCAATTCATGTACGATAGGTAACATACTAAGAGTATACATAGGAACTGAGCCTTTTGAGATCAGTATATACTTACTTGCAAATATTACTGAAATCAACGTTTAACACTAATTTTTTAGGAAAATTCTGTTGCCTTCCAAGGCAGCGCGTCCGTCGAAACTTTCAACGGGTTCCGAAGAAGAGAGGAATGGAATCGTTTATCAGGAAGCAAAACTATTCAGAAGAACAGAAATCCGATATCATCTCCCTCGAGATCATTAAATGTTTTGTTTTTGCATAAAACTGACTTGAACCAAAGCTTTATTCCTATCTAATTTTACAACTGGCCTGTTATTTTTGCTGGTGACAATCATTATTATCTATATCGTTGTGTGATTAAGAAAATATATTTTCAAGTTCCTATATTCTATATATTTAGATTAGCAAAATGTTTTCTGTCCCACTTTTTGCTTGCCTTCCGCATCATAAATAAAATAGTGGATATGTAGAAGAAGAATTCAGAAGTAAAGTATTTACGGAATTGTCTGCAAGTTTGTATTTCAGCGGCGAATCATCAAGTATTTTATTTTCGGCGTGTAGAATTTTCAATCTTTGATGTCTGCTTAGTGATCATATATATATATCTATATGAGTTTTAAAAAAAAATTCAATTTCGCTATAAAAAGTGTGAGTTCAGTTAGTTCACTTAGTTAATTTATTATTTCTTTGTGTTGCTGAACACTTTTAAAACTACTAACACGCAATTATATATATATAGATATATATACACACGCTACAAATTTTTAATTCCTTACCTACTTCGTTTGTTAAGGGGACGTTATATTTGAGGGCTTTTAAATTAGTCTATACTTCGAGTTTAAATCTCAATGGCATTTTAAAATTGCAATAAATAAATAAATAAGTCTGAAAGTTTTAGTTTTCAGTTTTTATCCAGTTTTTATTTCAGTTTCAGTTCCACCCCCCTCCATTTACAGACAACACATACACATTTCGAGACATTTGGATTACCGCCACTTTGGGCTGAAAATATTTAAAAACAGCATATCTTTAGAATTTCCGATGAACAGTTTCTAGCGCTAGAGATAAAAGTATTTTATTCCCTGCAGTGTTGCTTTTCTTCACTTTGAAATCATTGAGTTATTAATCAAAAATTCGTTAGAAAGTTTTACAAAATATCAAATAGACAATAACAAATTCCAAATTCGGGCTTCCAGGTGCCCATGTTTGAATGGAGGGCTACGTTATTCAGAATTTTATGTCTCTGGGTAGTATCGTTTTCACAATGCGGAAAACATGCATACGTTCACGCCGATTCTTTATTATTTTATTAATTTTTCTAAATATAATACAGGGCTATAATATTTGTTAGCAACAATTTGAAAAGTTATTCAGACTTTTATAGTGATTCAACGCAACTGACTAATTTGAGATTGATAAATTTGAGACTAATAGCCCAAATTTGAGACTAATAGCCCAAATTTGAGACTAATAGCCCTTCTTGGCTAACGCCATTTGGACTAAGTCAAGCTGACTTTGAATTTTAAGTGTAGCAAGATTTTAAAAATGGAAAAATGATAAAAACATACACGATTATTTAATAGGCACTGGAAAAAAATATGTCTAGCGTAATACAAAGCTGCCAAAATTTGAAAAAAAAGTCTGGTTATTCCAAGTAATACGGTAGTTGCTTCGAAGTTAATCTATGATACAATTATCAAAGATTGTTTTGAAAGACTAAGCGCCAGTTATTATAAAGACATAAAACAATTACAAATGCAGCACAATTAACTCTTAAAATTAGAAGACGGTGTTTATTTGGAAGAAAAGCATGTCCATCGTAAAAAAGATTCCGATTTTGACACTTTCTTTTAGGCTTGGTTAAAAGCTCTTGATGTATAGACAGCCCTGTATCTGGGCCGAATTCCAGGTTTCAGTTGAAGTTTACATCAGCAGGTATGCGTTAATTTTTCTGATAATTGAAAACAGTTGATTGTGATATTTTTAAAGTTCACATTTACGTATTTTCCAGTAAAAAATGTACATTTCGCAATTTGTGATAAGGCACAACCGTAAACACGTTTCGGACATCAGACTAAAGCATCATATTACAAGTTTACTTATTTTATTATTAGTGAAGAACTTTTAAGTTGCATTTTAGTAAGTTGAAGACTGATGGAGCTTTAAGTAAAGGGAATTTACCATATGGAATTTCGGCTACTCATTTGTGAATTCTAGTTGCTTCGAATTCTGATATGTGCTTCTACCTCTGAATAATCTTCCAATGCTCAAAATTTTAAAGCGGTGATATTTTGCAATACAACGAATTAAGTAGGGATTTACATATTACTGAGAAAAATATGACGGTGATTCAGAGAAAAATGTGTATTTTATTCCGTTTCGTATGTTTCCTATTTAATTCATTTCTTTTAAAAAGGATAGTTATTTGGAAGCAGCGAAAGCTTATTTATTATGACATGTAAATTCAGAGAATATATGAAATTTGTACTGTTATTGATGCTGTTATCGCGAATCCCATAACCTCTGGATCGACTTTTGTATCAGCTATCATTCATGGAATAAAAATCATTTAGAGAAGATAATTTCTGACAGAAGTTGCTTTCTGACCCGTCTATTTTTTGAATATTTAATCAGACGGAATATTCCTTCGATGAGACATCATTCTCATTCGCCGTACTCCATCGTCTGTCGACCTCGGATAGGGTAGCCATCCGATCGGGCGTTTCAAGTGGGTCCAAAGTTCCCACAGACTTTAGTTCAGTGTGTTGTTTACCGGAGTCCAAGATACACGCCTGTACCCCAGAGAAGTTGAATTGCAGAAGGTGTACTTTTCATTCCGTTGTATTGTGGGGAATTGACTGCATCGGATTTCTGACATCGTCGCATTCCTACATGACGTTCGTATTCTTTGCTAACCTTCGGGCTATCTTGAAAGAAGGTAGGGCATTTTTTATTCCACTTCTAGAGTGATTCATGTCTTGAGACAGATAAAGGATAAATGGAACATAAAATTTTTATTTGTTGTTTATAAAATAATAGATTTTTTTAATAATTTTATTATTGTATATAAATTTGTGTTTATTATTAGATTACCCGACAGCCAAAAAAATAAATGTGTATTTTTATTTTGAATGTAATTAAATTACGAATTGAAGTTGGAATGTTAGTCATATTTATGGGGAACAAATTTAGGTGGAACACATATCTGTATTTAAAATAAAAGTAATAACCGATGCACCGTTATATTGTTTCAATACAACTGAAACAACAAAAGAAAAAATATATAGGCAATTTTAAAGTTTTACAAAATTTTATAATTGTAATTAGGGCGTATTTTTACTGTAGACAATACCGTGCTGGTCACGGAAATTCTTTGCTCAAGGCACATAACTTTTATTTTTCCCCTTCAAAAACTTTTTAATATAAAATTCGTTTAGTAGCTTCAAAAATACCAAGTCTATCTTCGTGGCTTTCCTCTTTCGGTTAATCGATTTCTTTTTAATATAAGGTACTTATGTATTAGTGCAACCACCGTGGGGCAGTTAGGCAATTTTCTACAAAAGTAAAGGTGATTCGGTGAATTTTCGGATTGCAGCTTACAATGGACATGGTTACCTAAAGAACTGTTATGCGCTTGGTTGCCAGAGTTTGGCGATTTCCGCGAAGGTGGTTGCGATAATGCGTAAGTACTTAATATAGTTTGAACTTTATATGTATAAGAATACTGAATAAAAATCTAAATACATGTGTACATGCTCTGAACTGTCAGTTTCGAAATAAGTGTGACCTATTGCAGCAACGTCAAAACAGAATGAGCTTCTTTGGTGCTATTTTAAATGCTTATTTGTTATATACTACTGGCAGCACCGCGGACAGAAAATGATAAAATAAGTAATTAGTTTAAGATTAATGATTTAAAGAGGGCTTTATCATAATCGTCGAATCAAATCTGCATGATAAATTACACTAACATTCAGAAGAGATAAAATTAATGATAAACTATTTATTTTCATAAAAAAGCAATTTTTTTAATAATAAAGAAAAATATTATAATTATCAGTACCTGTATTGGTAAAATCTTGCTATACGGTACGACCTTGGCGCGATTTTTAAAATTGTCGCCAACACAAAAATACGCGTTTACTGCTCATAATAATGTCCCAAATCCCGTCTGTACCTTATTCGAGGATTAAACTGTAGAGACATTAGGTTATTTTGGTGCAGGAGACGTGAAAAATGAGCAATGCTCTCGCCGGGACTCGAACCTCGGACCTCTCGAATACGAGCCGAGCGTGTTGACCAAAGCATGCTAAGAAGGCGGGAGAAATACCTTATATACTCCGCCTTTTAAAAGGCAACTGGGAATTAGGGGACCCAATCGCCAAATCCTGGTGTTGTAGAATCATCAGCCAGCACCTATTTTAGTTCGAGCGAAACTGTAGAGACAGTTTCGCTCATATTTCGCTGCAGGAGACGTGAAAAGGAGCACTGCCCTTGCCGAGACTTGAACCTCGGACCTCTCGAATACGCGCCAAGCGTGCTGACCATTGCACCACGACGGCATTCTAAGAAGGCCGGAGAAATATCTTATAAAACCCCTGTTATTTATAATGTTCACAGAATTGCTGATCACTTTCAGATATGGTCGTCTACGAAAAATGGTCTTCAAAAGAGCACTGCTCACTGTATTACTATTGTATATAAATAATGGATTGTTTTAATTTGGAAAATCAGTCTAAGGGTTTTATGCGACGTGGATTGTCTGTAAGTTCCTGTTTTGTTACTCTTAGATTTTCTTTTACAGTGAAAATTTAACCATACACGTTTTCCTTATATATTTTAGAGAAGACATCGATGCAGCTTTCCTCGTTTAATGCAGTAGTGTTGTATCTGTTGACTTAAAATACAAGAATTAATATTTTCATAAGCTTTATTGAGTACATTTTTAAATGAACTTAGTTATCGCGTTCGCGTATGGAGCTATTAAATGACGACGACGTCGTCTAGACAGTCTTATGCCTAGACGGCCAGAAATTTTTTTTTTTAGAGTATTGAAGGAAAAGAAGAAAGCCAACAGAGGTTCCTAGTTCTCGCCATTTTCCCAGTGCTGCAGAAATATCCTAATGTATAACTTTTAAAAATCACCGACTGTCGACGTAATTTTGGACAAAGGTTAGGAGGAAAGATTAAACAACTGTAAGAATTCTTTGGGCTACGCAACCAACTCTCCAGTATTTTGTTGTTATTCTCCAATATTAATGGCTCTTCGGGATTATAGTATAGGCCTCGCAGGATAAAGAAAATCGTACTGTTTCTTGTAATTTCTGTCAACTATTAATTAACCGTAAGCTGTCTAAAAAATAAGTTACGTTTTTTCATTGCGAACGCTGTAAAAAATAATACCGCATAAAGCGATACTGTCTGAATGAAAACAGAAAAGGTATGAAAAAGAAAAATCCATAGTATTTTAATTGCATGCAATCCGGAATATATATAAAATTGCACAATAAAAAACAGTAAATTCCATCACGCTAGTTTGAATTGTACCACATTGTTTAAGATCTTTTGTAAATATTAATTTTTAATGCCATTTATTATTACAAATTAGGGTTTCTTTTCAAACGATGTCTATTCCTGTTATCTGCAGTGTGTTAGTTTTATTTGGAATACTGATTTAATTTAATTGTGTAATAGTAAGAATTTATTCCTCAGCGTAAACGCCTTGAAAATACATGCAAATTTTTAGCAAACTATGAGCTAATCTTCTCCCCCCTTTTTGTAACTATCCTCAGATTAACTATAAACTTCTAAACCAGGAGTTAACTGTATCCATATTATCGAGAAAAGGTAATTTGTAAGTAATTTAACGGGGTTGTTTGAAAATATAATAAAAGAAACATCTTGCTTCATATCATTTATTTATTTTAAAATGAAATATTTATGGGTTTTTTGCCGAATATTTTTGCTTCTTGGAAAGTCCCCCCACCCCCAAAGTCCATTTCTCTCAAAAACCGTAGACTTTTTGTATAAACCAAAGCTAGTGTAAAATTGAATTTTATCTAATTTTGAATGTGAACTGTCGGAAATATTCAGCGTAAAAATATGTACGGAAGGTAAGCAATTTAAAAAAAAAAAAAAAAAAAAAGCATACGTCTGTCTCAGTCCAAAGATCGGGAAGGTGACGTCATGTCTAGGAGCTAGAGGAAAACAGAAAACAGGCCGCGAAATTTCTGTTACAAATTATTTGGTCAGTCAATTAGTTAATTGATTATCTGCTTATAAGAAGGGATTCTTGCATGGCGGAATTTTTAAAGGATATGTCATGTACATTATGTTATACGTGAGAAAGTACCAAAAACCATACAAGTCCATCTATTCGCCGGAAATTGAACCAAGTCGAACTATTAGTTTAAGAGGTGTCATCGATTCGTTTATTGGTGAATTCTCACTGATACTGGAAAGCGCTCCAAAAATAAAAAGTGGGAGAGTCTGTGATTTAAGAGTTAACGGGACTTAAAGAATGATAGAAAATTCTGGTTTATATATCATATATAAAAACTGTTGCTTTATATATGTAATAAAATAGAGTGCAAGTAAAAAAAAAATAAATTGTAATAACGGGCATATAGTTTTACGAATTATCAGTGTTAATTTATTTCTGAGTTTCAATCAGTAAATATATTTTGCATATTTCAATTCATTGCCCCAGCTAGAGTCTCTGACCGCCACGTTTGGTGCCCTCACATACATTTGCAATATAACGTTTGTTTTTGCTCCATTCTTTCTCTCTCGATGTTGGCTTAGCTGCGCCATAAATTCCATAGTAAAACCTGCAATGAGAAATTTGTGTGGTGCCCAGTTTCCAGGATTCCCAGGGACCTTCTTGAGGTGCCCCCTTTTTGTTTTCGTTGCTATAATCCACGTACTTATCTTCCAGCTCTAGATAGGGATAAGATCTGGGTGACCATTAAAATAATTCGCATCAACTTGTCTGCGGGTTTGGAAGTTCTTGGTCAAATAAGTAGCGCATAAATTCGAAAATAGTAATAACGTACGCTCTCGTATTGAAAATGAGGCACATGTAACATCTATATGTTTGCTTTTGCACGTCTCGATGTATGCATCTTGCATTGTCTTAACAGTGCAGAATACATATTACTCGTGGGCTACAATGCTGGAGAACCGAATATTGAGTTATGACATTTCCTATCACTGTAAAATTATCGTCTTTGCGGCAGCAGCAGTGGAATATATTTTGATTCAGTACTGCACTGACGACTTTAGTGTCGCTGTTGCATTGTTTGGTATAATCGCTTCCATTGGCTGCAGTACTGACACTTCTCAAATGGCGCCAAATAACTTTACTGAAGAATCTTATAGATAAGGCACGTCAAAATTTTATTGTGAATATTAGCAATGGACGCTGGTCCAACTCAATGACATTTCTGTAGTGAAAGCAGAAAAACATCCATGGAATTATTTCTTCTATAAGATTCTTTTAAAGAGACAGATTAAAACTATGGATGTGAAAGCCTTCCGATACGCGAAAAATTCCTTCCAAGACGCAACATTGACAAGAAGCTTACAACACATTTCTTGCAATATCAAAAAAGGAAATTGACGATCTATAAAATTTAAGCGCAAGCAACAACCATTCAGCATTTTACAACCATCTAAAAATTCGAAACATAAAGTTCTCTTTTGAAAATTACGTAAATGTAGATTATTCCTGGGAAAATTGTTCACTGTTATTATATTTTGATTGATGATGTAGCACAGAAACAGAAGAATGCCATTTTATAATTTTGTGATACATGGCACAGTGTGGTAACTTTATTTATAAAACTCTTCTTGTCTCTAAATATTTTTTATTGTGAGTTACGAACTTATGGCATAGTATAACATTTTATAATTATTATTATTTACAGAACTGCTGTGAATTCATTTAACAATGCTTTATCCATCAATTGAGCGAGTGATAGCGAAATTTCAAACCCAAGGAAAACTTGAGACACGTTTATCCCAAAACTTTGTTTTTCCAGCTCTACTAGTATTGCAGCTCGTGAACCTGCATCATAAAATGCAAAACTGACAAAAACATCTAATACATGCACTTAATTTATTTTTAGTAAACCGAAAGTATATTGTTAAATTTTATACAGTCAGCTCTAAAGTTGAATATACTCTAGACATCCATCCATATGGAATTTTGCCTTGCAATTCTTACTTGGCAATAAAATTTTTTATGTACATTCTCATTAACGTATCGTTGGAGAGTATGCAGTTTTGAAATTTAGTTCAAAAGAAAATCTTTTTTTTTTTTGTAATTTAAAATCAAGAGTGAGAACACCGAGGGTCACCTTTGACTTGAATATTGTAATTTATTGCGTTTTATGCAGAAATTTTGGTCATGTCCTTCGTTGTAATGTGATGTATCTTTTACCCTTTTCTGTCCAAGTCCATACATATTCATTCAAGTCTTCAGAAATATGCATCGTATGTAACTTCGGACTGCAGTGATCCAAGGCCGGCACTAGGTTTTCTGCCACCCGGTGCTTCTCTAAATTCTTTTGCCGCCCGATGCGGCTGCACCGGTTGCGCGAGCTCTGCCGTCAAATCTAATAGTAATAACTTCACAATTTTACCTTAATGGCTAAGACTGTAACCTCGTTAATAGTCTAAACACAATTTTTTACCACAGTCTTTAAATCATTCTTTCAAATATCGAGGTACCCCTTATTGTACATTATGCTATCCATTATCTGTGTTAAACCCTACCACATTCTTTGTTAACCCAAGTCTCGAAAAGAACCGCGCGGTATTTGACAGCCGATATCGTATCGTGTACTTGACATCTTGTGTGGCAAGCAAGCTATATACAGCTTTACATCCGTAGTTGTCAAAAACGCTGAATTCATTTTCGTCACTAAAAATGACCGAATTCCTCTAATCCTGGGGTTAAATATTTTTCCAAAGCGTTCTAGTTCTTTGTCACTTATGAATCGCCTAAAAACCCAAGACTTGTAGTTATTAAAGAAACAATTCATCAAGGTCATTTGTCTTCATTTCCTTAGTTAATAATCAAATTCTATTTTTTAACGAAAGCTTTGTACAAGTCGCATATTTTAATTGTTTTACTGTAAAAACCACTGCCAAAACGAAATCGAATATTTATTAGAAACATTTACAAAAATTCCACTTGAAATATATTTTTTATTGTATATCACAAAGAGTGTTTGCTCCACATGAATTAAATGTAAAATGCTGCTACAATATAATTATTTTTTCAAAAGAAATGAGTTAGAGTTAATTGCTAAATATAAAGGCAGTGTATTTAAAACTTCTGGTTACTGTCAGTCTTTTACAAGCAATCTGAAAAGTTTTATGAAACATGGATATTGGAACTCCCTATGCAGGTGAATATGGTTTGTTGTGTTCTACCATGTTTCATGGCTTGACTTGCGCTCCTATAAATAATATAGATTCAGATCTGAGCACAAACATGTAGAATAAAACACTTTACCAAGAATGACCCGTGTATAAAAAGGAATTTTGCCGGCGGGAAATGTAATAAGAGGGGTAGAAAAGGTATCTTTTCTTTTCAGTTAATTTCTCAGATTTTTCTGCGAAATTAGTGCATAATTAAGTAAATATTGTCTGATTATCGTAAAGATATCTAGTAATATCCGAAGTATAGGATCCACAGCGGGCGAGTGGTTAAAAGTCGCAGAACTCCGTTAGTCTGGTTCGGGATTCGAGTCACTGCGAACGGGCCGGCTGGCGTGGGCGTTTTCGTGGTTTTCCCCACGTGTATACGAGCTGGTTTCCTTTAGAAAGTCCATTATCAAAATCCATCAGAAGGTATCCATTATCAAAATAAACCAAATCGAAGTATCAGAAATTTTATTTTTTCTTTCTTCTCTCCTCCCTCCATATGTTGATATACCTTTATTTTCATTTAATAAAATCAACACAGTTTGGGATTGTATTTTGCTTTATTTAAAAATTTGTTGGTTCATTTAAAAACCAAAGATAATTGTGTTAGACAAACATTTATGGCGTTTAGCAAAATAAACTTCAGCTTTCGTTTTTCGAACACAATAGGTGTAATAAATGAAAATTTATTGAAAACTGTATTGAACAAATAAAGAAAACATTAAAAATCATCACCACCTTAATAATAAATACACTAACTGGAAATATACAAAATCTTCTTTAAACGCGAACTTCAGAATCAACTTCAGAATAGGAAACGTAATTTTATAATTGAACATTTATGACAACTTTGCCGAATGCGGAAACCGTCGAACGAATACATTAACATTGGACATAATAACTCCAAGTAACATAACAGTTGGAGTTTTGAACGCGGTTAACAGTTTACATTTAAAATAAAATTCAGCAACTTCGAAATTTGCTCAGCTTGCCCTTTTTCGCTGAAATTTAAATTGCACATACTCTATCATAAGAAAAATTATTTACGTAGTCAATGAAGAACACACAAGATTCTTATGGCACAATGACAAATTTTTACTGAATATTGTCTTAGCAGTATTCATATTAGACCGTGCTTCAATATTTTCGATTAGCCAATACAAATCGAAATTTAATGGCGTCCCAGAATTGCACCGAAGATCAGTATTGAATTTCGTGTTTCCTCTTTGTCCTCTGGAAACAGCTAGCTATCTGCGCATGAAAAGCTCCGGAGTCACATTTTTAGCAATGAAACTGAGTGGGATACTTTTCGTCTCGCTTAGTTCCATGGCTCACGAGATCGATTCTTTCTGAGTGCGAACTTTTTGCTTTGCTTTTGTTTTGTTGCTATCGTTTTATTTTTGCAAGAAGTTTTTTTCTTATTTATTTATTTGTCGAACTTGTTACTGGAATTTCCACGTACGCATTTAGTGTGAGATTAATGGAAAGCTCTTGTTTTTTGGAACAGTATGGAAATGAAAATTCTTTTTGGAAATGTGTAAACTTAATTTTAGCATATTAAATTTATATACAACATTTATTTTCTTTTGGTTAAAAAGATAATTGCTGTTGCTGACTGTGACTAAATATTGTAGTGTAATTTTGTTTAATGGATTTGTCGGATAGAAAAATATTATTAAAATAAATCTATCGGAAGTATTCTTCAGTATTTCATTCCAGTAAATAAATATGCATGATCCTTTCAGAAAATTTTATTCTTCCATTCAAAAATATCTCGGTTTTCTTTTAGCAGTGCTATTTATTCATTTTCTTCCATTCACATCACATTTGATTTTATGCAGTCCAATTTTTTTATAGGAAAAGTTGAGACTTTTCTTCAGATTATTGTGGTTATTTGTTTTGCCTGAATTTTTGTGTAGTTTTAATTGTTTACTTTTTTTTCCTTTTCTTTTTCATTTCATGTGGTAATTATATCGTTTATCATTCATATCTGAAATCTAATAGATGTAATCAAAGCTCTGTTAAAACTTGCTGTTCCCCTAAGCAACAGCACCCTTTCAAGGCCATTGAAACTTTCCTTTATATCTTGGGAGAAAAATAAAGTTGGGATGAATTATATGCTGATTTTTCAGCCTTTAAAACCTGGGTCCTTAACTTGAACCATAGGGTAATCAGGTCTTAGATCTAACAAGATTTTGTCAACACTTCTGTATATAGATATAAGCACGTATTTTCAAAAAATGTTTCTTGTTTATACGTTTTTTTTTTTTTTTTTTTTTTTTTTTTTTTTTTTTTTTTTTTTTTTGAAAAAAATTATACTTTCAAAAACCTTTCCTTACCAATAATTCGCTCAGTTCTGTTTTTTCATAGACTAAACCTTATCCTAATTTATTAACTTGAATCTAAAAGGTGGATATTTTTTGTGCACTAAGTATTTTATGTAATTTTTTTATATGATGAGGGCATTCTATAATTTTCAGTGTAATGCAGTTAACTTTCTTGAGCAATTTGTAAAGCTAATAAGCAGTTTTTTATTGTATAGTGAGCAGTAAAAGAAATGAGTTAATGAGAGTACATTTAAGTTTCTAATTCTGTATTATTTATTGTAAGGTCCAAAATTCATTCATATGATAGTATAGAATTTCCCCTCCCCCTCCAAATCATTTGTATGGGGTTCAGCATATGATTCAAGCTTAAACTGAAATTTCATAAATATGCCATTATTATTTTTTAATTCAGAAAAAATTTCATTAATATATGCCATTATTTTTTAAATTCAGAATTCTTTGTATATATTCTTATCATCCCAGATTCACTAATGAGTTGTGCATTTTGAAATAATAAATATTAATATAATATTACAGGTGTAGATGTTCTACATTACATTTCATTTGAACATTAGATTAATGTATATAATGAATTAATTGAGTTTGGCCTAGTTAAACTTTATGTTGAGAAGATGGTGTTTAAGAATTTATAAAAATCTGAATAGATTTTGATCAATAAAAACTAATGTTAAATGAAGGTGGAATTTTTCAGATTTATAATAAATAATTCCACAAAAATATTTCATGCCATATAAATAGCATGAAAAAATAAATAATCGTAATATCGTAACATAAATAATCGTAATATCGTTTGCTTATAAATTAGTAAGTACATTCATTATATTTGTTTTATGTTGTGGCAACTATGATTGAGTTATGGCTTGTTTTTTTTTCTGTAATCATGCATATTTATATCTGATATTTTTGCATGTTGTCATGCAATCGGCTAATTATTGTTTATTCCTTTCTTTTAGGTTAATTAGGAAATTATTCCTGCAAAACGAGCATTACGAAGCAATATCATTTAGTTCCGACGTAGAATGTACGAATCTCTCGGACGAACACAGCGACTCGAATGCGAAAAGATCTTCCATAGCCTGCCAATTCTCTCGGCCGCGATCGGAAGTGTACGTGCGACATGAACAGTCGGGTATTCGCCCTCAACCGACCGCCAGTAGTTGCCTGGAATGTGGAACCTCAGCTTCAATTGCCGTACGCTGACATGCCCGCTGCTGCCGCTATTTCGCCTATCGTGCCCGGAGCTTCCGACCCATACGGCCGTTGTTGGCAGAACCAAGTCGACGCTGGTAAGCCTAAAGTTTTTATGTAGATACGTTTCATTTTCATAATGTTAATATATTTCTGCTGTTAAATATTATGATAAAAAAACTAAAGCCTGCCATTTTTCGAAAGCAGAAATTCGAATCACCCAGTTCATTTCTATTGTTATAAAAATCTAAACTGCAGCTGTCTTCTCAATACAATGTTGAACGAAATTTTTCTTAGCCTAAGTCTGAAGAATTGTTTGAGTGAACAGTTTGCTTTTATTTTCGTTTTATGAAGCTATCATATCAAAGTAATTTCAATAGAATTTTAAAAAGAACTTCATTTTGAGAAAATTTTTCACGGAATACGAGAACTGATTGTAATGAAAGCATAAAATGTTATGGTATTTTCAGCAATACTAGTATTTTTGTTTTTTCAGCAATACTAGTATTTTGTTTCAGATAATTCTTTTCATTGTTTTTTATTTGATTTCATACACTACAAATTCTTCATTGCAAAACTTCGCTTCACCTTATAAAAAATTTTCTATGGAATTGTTGCATTCCCATTGTGAGTTATTTTTTCATTAGTTGATTTTCTAATATAGTAATGATAGTCTATTTTAAGCTAAATCTCCGTAACTGTAGTCTCAACTATCAATGTATATACATTACATATTATATCTTAGTTTGTAATGTTTTTTGTTTGATATAAATGTAGGGATTAGAACTCTTAAAATATAAGATTGATGTAAATTGTGTTTATTTTGTTCAGGGTAGAAGAACATGTACTTTTAACTTCGGTAGTTAAAATGTATATATATACAGTACAAGGTCCGTAATGTGAGAGGGGAATTTTATAAACCAGCAGAAATAGAAGCTGAAACTGTTATATTAAAATAATTCCATGTTACTTTTAAGAAAGCAAAATTATTTATGAACTTCACAGTATGATGAAATTATTTATGTAAACTAATAGTAAATATTGGAGACAAAAGTATTTCTGTTCAGTGGGTTAAGATAATTTAGAAAGTTGGTTGATTTTACTATTTTATAATTGAAAGTAGCTGCTGCTTGCACATTTTCCCCCTCCTTTTATTGTCATTTTTGATTATTTGTGCAGAAAGAAAATAATATAATATTATAATAAAATAATTGTAAGAATATTTATTATGAAATTATTTAACAGTGACATAGGCAGATTAATTAATATGAAATTTCCCGTGAATTTTTTTAAAAGTAATGTTTTGCTTAATACTTTTATGTAATAGAAATAATGTTGAGTGTAATTCTTACATAATGAAAATAATGACGAATCTTTTTAGAGTGATTCTAAAAACAAAAATATCTGTTTATAAGTATACTTTATATTTTGCTGTTAAACTTTTTTTTTAATAGCAATGAATTTAAGTATTTGTAGTAATATTTATATGGTAATTTATTTTCTAGAATTTAATACTGGGAAGGAAAAAGATAATGCTTATTTTCCCAATAATTTTATTGCAGATGAACAAATAATGTTATGTTATAAATATATAAATATTTCTCATAAGCTTAAATAATACATGACAAATAATAAGTATACTCTCACCCATAACATGCAGCACAAAAAACAAAATATGCAGATGTATGAATGGAGAAAATCATTTAAAAATCAGACATATATGCTGTATTGGTTGGCAACGTATTGAATAAGAAACATATGTTATAAATTGAGTTTGCTCTAACTTATTCTATGATATTCAGTTCATTTTGTACCCTTTTGAATATTAATTATGCATATTAAAAATGTCTGGAGATTCTTGGTCCTACATGATAGAAATTTGAATTTAAGAATTAATGGTTACATTTGTTGTGGAATGGCAAAAAAAAATTTAATTAGGTATATCATCTGTTTATTATGTTATTAATAGATACAAATCTGCTATCAGTATTGAAGATTGAAAGAAGATATTGTGATTAAAAGTTCTCTTGGGAAAATATAGCAAAAATAAGTAGAAATGTATAAAAGCAAATACCGCTACAGTGTTTTGAATGTTTGTGTTACACCCTGCATAGTAGGAAATTGCAGACAAAAATTTGGATTAAATGGTGTAACCGAAAATGAAGAAAACACATGTATGTAAAACGGATTTATATATATGCAGTCAAAAGTCGCTAATTCGGACACCCATAATCCGGAATGATCTATAATCCGGACCTCAAAGCTACAAACTTGCGCATGCGTCGCGTTCACGCATGCGCACAGGCGTTTACGAGACCCTTACGGCTGCGAATATGTTTGTGCGCATGCGCGTTTAATGTGTAACGGAGTTATATGCTAAGCTAAAGTTATCTAATTCAGTTAATGTTGCAGATTGTGTTGTTCCTTAATCTTCGAAATGGATCCGGCTTATTATTTTTTGCAGACTGTTAGAGCAATTTTATAAAAGTAAGCTTGAACTTTCGATTATGTCAAATAGAATTTCCGATATATATTTACTACAAAGCGAAAGTATGTTTTGAAATCCGAAATCTGTTTATCAATTTCACGCTGGGGATTGGAAGTTGATCTGTCAGCACTATCCTTATCTTCAGGGCAGATGTTTTTATTTTATTTGGTTTATAATTCAGTACTAAGTGTAGTATTTCATTTCCATGTACTCGGTCTTTGATATGATTTAAATCAAGTTCCTCTCATTATAATTCAATTCGCTTCTGATAGTGAAGAAAGTGACCCAGAGGTTATTGAAAACGAAAACATTTCGATTGACAAATTAGTGGGTATTCTCAACACATTAATTATAGGATTTGAACAGCGGAACTTTGTAACTAAACAAGAAATTATGTCTGTTTAATAGAATTAAAGAGAAAGTATTATCACATGAAACGAATCAACTTACATTGAAAGAAATGTTTAATAAAGTAAACAAATAAATATTAAGCTTTTTCTCTTTTTGTAAATTTTGATACCCTTTAGATCATAATTTTTCTTTATTTCATAAATTACGGTTTCATATTTTTAATTTTGTAATTTCTGCATGCCATCGTACCAGATTTAAACTGATGATCTATAATCCGGAAAAATCGATAATCCGGAATCGCCGAAGTCCCGAGGAGTCCGGATTAACGACTTTTGACTGTATAACTTTATTATTTGGATATTATTCCAAATAAGAAACTCCTTTTGCCTTTCAAATTTTGAAAATATGTTGTTCTCTTTGATAAAAGTAAATTTTGTCTGTCTGCATCATCTGGCAAAATCATATAGAGGAATAGTGAAAAGGCTTTAAACCCTAAAAATATGCTTTCTAGTAGTGAAATGTGGTGACAGTATATACCACATTTCACCACTTGGACAGTAAACACAGTGCTGTGTGGTGTGGAGTAAAACTGCTGTTAATTTAGGGGATTTTGAATTTATGAAGACATGGAAAATATTGTAAGATAATTTAAGATTTCTGGTTCCCACAAGGTGATGACACATGGCTAGAATTATAATCCATATAAATATGCATTTCTTGATTTCATAATATAAATATTAGTTCCAAATTTCGCTGAGTGCCATTTTATCTAACAATACTGTATTGCTAAATAATTTTCTAGAAAAAAGGTTCCAATACCATTAAAGTCATTACTAATCTTAATCCTTTTAAGAACTTTGATTTTCTGGACCAAGGATGGAAAAACAAATTTCAAATGGAAGCAAATAAACAAATAATTCTTTTGGAAAAGGAGAAAATATTCCTTAAAATGTACAAAATTGTTAGTTGAGTCATTGTCTGCAATACACAGAGGTAGACTTAAAAGTGGATTAAATTATATTTTTATTTTTATTTTATTTTTTTTTTTTTTTTTCAAATTTAAGTAGTAAAATTTGATCTAAATACTTCCTCACCCTTAAATATAACCATAACTTTTTCATTCAGCTCTTTATTAATTAAATTTTATAACTGCTTTTACATTTTTTTAAAATAATATTTGCTTATTATTTATTTAGCAATGAAATATCACCATTTGGTTAAATGATAAATAAAACTTTTGACATTTTGAATACTTGTGTATCATATTTTTCTTTAAATTTGCCCGTCATAGAAATTCATTATTATAAGTTATAAAAATTTTACTTGTAACAAAAACATATTTTGCTTTTTTTTGGACTTTTATCTATTTTGAATGATAATTCAAATAAATAATTTGAAATGTAGAAAGTTTAGATTTTTTTTTTCTTTATTTTCAATAGTTTGAATTTTTATATCTGTTTTAGATAAATTTTCAATATATGCTATATAAAGATTTTACATTAATGAAATAAAAATTGAAGTGGGAACTCGTAGCAGTACACAGTATAAAATACAGATAATTAGTCAAAAGCATTAAATTATAAATGGCAGAAAAAAGGAAGAGAATTTAATTTTTGTTTAATTATTTTGATTTTTTTCAAAAATAAGCAATAAGATATGTCATGTAAAATAGATTACAGCTGATAATTGTCAGGGTAAAAATCTATTTCTTGATATAGTTGATTATGTTTATTATTGTGTGCTAATTAGTAATACAGAGTATTCAAATAAAGATGGAACAAAGAAAAATCTGAAAGGGTTTAGATTTTAATTGTCATACAAAAAGGCTGTTTTTAATATATTTTGTCAATAGAGATGGCTCAGGTGAAATGGCAAAACATTTTATTAAAGGATATTAGGTGAATATACAGTTAGACTGACGTGAGAATGTTACTATATCTTTTATATCTTCTGTTAATTTGAAAAGCGTAAAAAAAAAAGTTACATACTTAGTAAAATAATTAATGTTTAAAATTAGTTAATGTTTTTAATTATATATATCATAAATTAAATGCATTTGTCTTCAAGTCAATCCCATTGAAAAGTAAAAGGTTAATATTTTTAAGAACTATATCAGTCGCTTGTAAATATGTGAATTCAGTCAGTTTAAGACTGATTAAATTTGAAAGATAAATGTCTTACATTTTGCTGAATGGCAATAAATTCGAATGAAAATTGAAATAACACATTTACAGTGGGTGACATTTAAAGTAAATCAAAGCAGTATTATATTTCATAAGTAATAGACATTTTGTGCTTAAGCAAATGAGCAGTCATTTCAAATAATCTCATTTCAGGCAACGTGTAAGATAAATCCATTGAAATACATTCTTCATTTCTTGCCAAAACTAAAAGTTTAAAAATTCATTTTAGTAAAACCTTATTTTTTTAATTTCTCTAAAATAATTTAGGTATGACAAAGAGAAATATGGGTTCTGTTTTTCAATTCAGTCGTTTTTATTTATGAAAAATATTTTCATTAGTTTTTATACTGAAATAAGAACAAATTTTTAAGCATAAGTTGTCATTTGTTATGTGTATTAAAACCAATATTTTAAATTATTTTAAATTTATTTTTAATTATTTTTAATTTAAATATAGTACAAACTTGGAGAAAAAATATTACATAGCATATTTCTGCAAGAGGATTATATAATCTGTACATAAGTTGTAAGCTGCCATATGAACTCAAGAATTCTGATGTTGAAATCTAGTTATGTGCCTTTTTTTTTTTTTTTTTTTTTTTTTTTTTTACTGAAGCCATTATTTGCTTTCCAGTTCGAAATAATTCCTGAGTTAATGTCTTCTTAAATTTAACATTAACTATGAAAGAAGCCAACACCATTCAGTATGAAATGAATATTTTTTATAGTTAGTGTAATTATTTTCAATATATGTGTTAGATAAAATTGTTTCGACTCAAAATCCAACTTCGTTTAATATCCAATTTATTTCACTTTACAAACACATACCTCTTAATGCCACTATTTACATGTAGAGTTAAGTATAATGATCAAATGATCCATACATGTTAATGATGAAAAATAATCAATATTTCAGTAACGTAATTTAATTAGGTTACTGAAACCTTAATTTAAGTGTTATTATTATTTATAGTAACACATTTTAAGTGATGCTTGCCCTAATTGGGTTATTCTCATAAAATATAATTAGATTTTATTGGAACCTTTTTACATTCACCAAAACTTTGATTGATACTATTTTTTTTTTTCCCAGAATGTTTAAAAGTTTTGTCTCAGAATTTTTTAATTGCTTGATTTCTGTTTAATTCAATAGATGGCGCCACAGTCTTAGCATTTGTTTTATTTTGTCTGTTTAAGTGGCATGTTCTGTGTTCCATTACTGCTGTTTTTGTTTATTGCATACTGTTCTTACTGTTTTATCAAAGGCATCTCTTTGGACTTCCTTTTATTTTCTAATGATGCTTTACATGCATTCCAAAAGCATATTATTTCATTTGAATGTCATAGTTACAGGCTTGTTGAACATGCAAGAAAGATTTCCTCCTTTCCATTATGTATTATTTTCTGTATCTTCTCAAATGTACTGCAGTTGGTAATAATTCATGCATTCTGCAGCATATTTTCACTGAACCCAACAGAGTACATTGCAGGATGTCTGTTATGCATATATACAAGATAATTTACGTCTGCTATTGCAAAATGCATTATTAATTAAGAGGAACTTTATTGAATTTCTGTATCTATGAATTAAATGTTTTAAGAATATTCAATTTAATTGAATAATAATTTAACACTTTTTGAGGGCAGTGAAGTTTTTTTTTATGATGTGAAAAAGGGCATTAAAATGAGTGTATTATATCATAAACTTTAAGTTGTAGGATGTGGGATTAGATTTGAAAATTTTGTTTTTAAGGAAGATTTAATGGTAAACTTCTGAGTTTTATAAATAACTTATATTTCAAAATGTTTGTTAAAAAAATCCCCCTTCTAAATAATCTAACTTTTTTAGATCATAGTATCAATTCTTTTACTCTGTTGGTAAAATTGTTTTATTGGAAGAATGGGTACTTTTCTGTTTCGCCAGTGCAAATCTCGCCAAGCAGACTTTATTGGCGGCAACACAGTATACGCATAAAAAATGTTGGCAATTATTAGTTCTAAGAATTTTTTATTTTGAAGATATAAACATTTTAATGTCTTTTAAAATTTTGTAAAAAAGCCAATAAATAAAAGACAATAAATTTGTAGACATTAATTTAAGAATTTACTATGCTTTCATGGTACAGCATCCTGATTCGCCGGGTTTATATCACATGACCCCAAGTAATCTCATCTTGTGTAAACTAAGCTACAAAAATCTAATTCTCTCAGTAATTATCTATATTAATTTCAAGTTAAATCTTAATTTGGAATACAAGCTTAAATGCAAGAATTATTTCAATTCGTACGAATAGCTTGCTCAGAAACTATGTAAACATGCGTGCATTTTTTAATCCAGTTGATAACAGAAGAGGACCAAAAAATATAATAATGAAATAGCTGTTTCTGTACTTTTACAATCTTTATTTTATACTCTAGATGTTTACTATTAGCTGGACAAATCAGATAGCCATGCTAATAATGATAAAAAATCATATTATAATCAATTCTTGAAATTTGCTTACTGCAGTTGCAGTTCTTATTTTAGTATTTTAGTGTTTTTATAGTCTACAGAAGCAGAAAATTATATTACATTTAGTAGATCGAGACTTCCAATTCTACTAATTAGTTGACTAATTGATTAAGTATTGTGCTTCCGAGTCTCGGTGAATAGGCCGGAACGAAATTTGTCTTGGCTCTCTTATTAATCGACCAAGTACGGAGCTTCAAAACACTTTTTCCTTGACAAGTTCTGTTATGAAGCTGCAAACAAGGGAGATTAATTTTTGCAAAATTTCTTTCTTCTTTATTAATTTCTTCATTCAGATTGTCTTAGTATTTTAGTTTTTGCTTTAAAATGTATTTCAAATTATTCAATGTGGTTCATGTATTAATTTACTTGGTAAAATTCATGTCGTCTTACCGATGAGTTCGAACATTACTTTTAAACTTCAATTGTATTTTATATTTCAGATTGAATTTTTGCCAAATAAGAGTTGATTATTAGTAACAGATGCACTAGAAAATACTTTTATTTTATTTTAAAATTTATTTATTTATCATTTTTGAGTGTAAATTAACATAGAACTTCTAGTTTCTGTGTTTGCTTTTCTGTCTTAATGAAATTTGACTAATGAATTAAATTGGAATTTACCTTTCTGTTATGTCCTGTAAAAATACATAGAATGTGAATGTAAATGCTGCATGGTGGCTTTCTCACTGTTACACCTCTGAAGTTAGAATTTGACAATAAAAATTTTGCAATCAAAATGATCCATATAAATAATTGGTAGTAGCAAATAGATTGGCAAATAAAATATAGACCACATGATCTTTCCCCTTTTTATTAGACTTTTCTCAAAGGATAACAAAAATGATCTGGGTTTGGATGCTTTATTCATAAACATTTATTTCTCAGTGATAGTCACAGCTCAGATTTGTTTAAACACACACTCAATGATAATAATTTGTGGCCAATATTGCTCTCATACATTCCTGTAAAATAACCATTCTGTCATATATTTCCTAAAATGAAAATTTTTCATTTATATTACGTATTCAATATGTGCTCCTTTCTCATGATCACACTGCAGTGGATCCTTTTCTTACAGGTACAAGTTTTCCATATTTTGGAACATTATATAACAATTCTTTACCTCCTGCTGCTTACCATCTGCAACCAGGCTGCATGGCAAATTTAGGACAGTTTTGGCCTCCTACACCGCCACCAGATGGTAAAATATTTAGATTAAAATTTAATGTATTTATTAATTATTAACATATCGATTACCACAGAATTTTATATAAATTGTTTGAAAAATGACTATTGGTTTTCAGGCATATTCTGTGAGGACTTGTAAACATAATTACCGTTTTATCATTTTGATTGCATTTTTTAACAATTTTTAGCATTTTTTTTATGTGCGGTCACCAGTGCCCATCACATTGTTAATGGAATAACAGAATGACAAAAAAATGATGCCATGGTTGTTATAAAGATAACATTATAAATCATAATAGAAAGTGTGCCAAAAATAAAATAAAAAAAAGTTGTAAGATAATGTCCTTAATATCAGCTAAATTATTGTTAATATGTTTTAATAAAACACATCATTATTGATTTATTTTTTGTTTGGTTTGTTCCACAGTTAGGTTTGTTATGTTGTAATCTGGGTATTCTTTTTTTCCTTTTCAGTGAAATCACGTTTGTACCTAAAGATTTATTTTTTACGCATTCTTCTGCAAATGAGCATATTTTTTATATGTAAATAATGTTAATGAAGTTTGAAATTGTAGTGTCTTTTGTATAATGTTACATGAAATGTCTGAAGAGTGCAAAGCCGTGCCATAAAATAAGATTACAGAGGCAAATTTATTTAAATCATGTAAATGGCAGTCTTGATAAATTGGTGAGGTATTGCCAAGCTGGTGTTGATTTTGGTGACTAATTTTTGTCGCTGTATTGGGTGAGAAGTTGCCAAACTTGGTGATATTTTGATCTGGTCCCTGAATTTGTACTGTAATTAACACTTAAATGTAATGCTAACCATATCTGGCCCTTTAACCATATATGCCTTCCAGAAATCGAAGGTGATAGAGATTTCGCAGCAGCTAGTGGGAAACTGTATAAGACTGGAGAGAGCACCAGTTTTAGGTTTTTAGTTCAGAGCTCACTTCATAATTTTGAGAGATTATGCAAGCTTCAGTATGTTTGGATTATGAAGTGCAACCAACAGAAATTTCTTGCAGATGCCAACCTTCAGATTTCACACAGAAAATAAGTATATAAATGAAGTGTAATATAAATTCTGTAGCTATCTTGATATTAGAAAAACAGCTATGTGAATGCTTAGAATGAGAGAACAGAGAAGAAAAGCTTTAGATGTGGCTATTGATTTGAATACATAATTTTGTTTTTGTAATACAGCAAGCCTTGATAGGCATAAACAGATTCACACAGCATGCATCATTTATGGGTGCAATATGCACCTCATAATTTTGTACAGCTTACATCTTTTTAGACAAAAGATGAAGCGGAAAACAAACTTTCTGCTGCTAGCAGCAAGGCGAAGCAGGATAGAAAAGGGCTGAGCATTAGTAGCAGTAGTATTTATAGACTGAGGCAGCGGTTTATGTCGTAGTTGATAGGAATATCATCTGCCTGCAAAATGTATATATATAAGCAACAATTTTTCTAATTTAGTTTAAAACTTTTTTTTATTTATATATTAAAAAAGAGTTCAAATTTTATTATTATTATTATTGCAGCTTATTGTCTACTTTCAAGTCATGTGCAATTTGAGTTTGATACTACTGACCCTCTTTTCTTATCTCTCTCTGTCTCGCCCCATCTTCCTTTGGGATAGCTTTGTTTTTTAATGTAATCTCTATTATCAGTGCATATTCTTTAAACAGTAGAACTGCTATACAAACTATTTACAAAAGAGATGCTTCTTGGATTACTCTAGTGACATCAGTTTAATCTTTACAGATTTTTTTCATGCATCAGAGCTTTTATTTTCATGAGAAGCTCTAAGTCTTTTAATTTCAGATCAGGAATAAGGTTTCTCAAAGCTTTAAGGAAGTTAAAGAAAATGAAACCATCATCTGAAGAAATACATCAATATTGATTTTGCTTATGTGAAAAATTGAAATTTCAGATAAGAAAGAATTGAACACTGCACCAAATTGCTCCTGAAAGTGAAATGTTAATTGATTTTATATTAAATGTTTAGCCAAAACAATTTTACTATCAGATTGCTGCAAAAGGGAATTAAATGCTTATTATGCTTGAAAAACTAATTAGAAAATAAATATTATGGCAGTCTGGTGTAAACAGGAATTTTAGAGATTTTCTGTAAAACATTGAGTTTAAAATAGAAATTTATCCTTAAATTGATGTAGAATTTCAGAAAATGTTGCACTAATTCTGCAGCATATTAGCCAAAAATTTATTTCTGTTTAAATTTTGTTCTAGTATTTGAAAAAATCAGCTGGACTTTTCAGAGATGAAAGTGGGGGAGACTGTGCTTACACAAGTTATTGCTGCCAGGGTGATTGATGCAATTTCAAGATGTAAAATTTTGAATTTAAATACCTAGAATTTCTATCTTTGAATGCATTTATTGCATACTCACATTCACTCAAATGACAAAACACTGATTTCAGAATTAGTATACATATTTTTCTCTCTCCTGATATTTAACTGGTAAAATCAGTGGGATATACTGTATATATATATACAGTAGCTCCCAAAAGTGTTCGTACACTTATGATTTTCATTGAAATAGTGTTCTATCCATTAATTAAATGTAAACTTTCTGAATTTAATAATAAGATCTGTAATCTATTTGTAACAAAATTATACGAAATATTTTTTTAAATGTAACGAAACTTTATTTTTAAGAAATTAATATAAAAAAATGACAAACATTTTATTTCGAAAAAGTCTTCGTACACTTCAAAAAAATCTTCGCATATTATTTTCATTTTTTGTTAAATTAATATTTAATAGGATATGCTTTAGCATCCACAACAGCTTTTAAATATCTGGGAATAGATTTTACTAGTTTTTTAATTTCTATATCAATGTTCATCTATTCTTCCATCATGACTGTTTTGAGTTCGCTTTTCATTTTGATGTTGTGTTTTCGTACTCTAACCTCCAGTTCTTTCCAGATGTGTTCTATGGGGTTTAAATCTGGCAACTGAGCTGGTGTTTTCAAAACCTGTGGAGAATTATAGAGCCACCACAGGCGAACGTTGAGAGCCATATGCTTAGGATCATTATTATGATTAAAAATAGTTTCCAATACCCAAATTTTGGGCTGATAATTTTAAAGTGTCTCTTAAAATAGTTAAATAAAGAGAATGATTCATTATGCCATCAATAAATACCAAATTGCCTAATCCTGATGCTGCCATGCACCCCCACAGAAAAGAACCTCAACCACCATGCTTAACTGTTCCAACTAAGTTCTTAGAATGAAGTTCCTCATTTTTTCTTCTCCATACAGTTATTCGACCATCAGAACCAAAAATGTACAATTTGCTTTCATCACAAATAGGACATTATTCCAGTATGTTTCGGGTGTATTTATGATTGATTTTGCGAATGAAAGCCTAAGCTTTCTGTTTTTCTCACTAAAAAAATTTTTTTTTTACGGGCAGAATGTAATCCAGCTTCTCTCTGAGAACTCGTTGAACAGTTTCAGGTGAAATTGAAGTAGAAAACTTTGCATTAAATTCTGCAGAATCTTTTACAGCGCTCAAACGTGGGTTTTTCACAAATTTTCTAATAATAAATCTCTTAACACATTTAGTTAACTTTCTCAGTCAACCTTTTCTTACCTTGTTTTCAATCCGATTTTCTTCTTTAGAGTGTTTTATCACATACTGCACTGTAGAATGGGATAAATTAACTAATTTAGCGATATTTCGAATTGATTTACCACTACTATGGTGAAAAATTATCAATTTTCGTATGCAGTTTGTAATTTCTTTACAACTGCGATCCATTTTTCAAAAATAAATAGAATATAATGAAGTAAACAATAAAAAATTAAAGCAAACGATTTTTTAAATGCCACCACAATGCAAAAATAAAAAAAAAAAAGCGGCAAACTATAATTCTAATCTTGATTTTATCCAAAAATATTTCAGTGTACGAAGACTTTTGTGAGATAAAATGTTTGTCATTTTTTTATTATTAATTTTTTAAAAATAAAGTTTCGCTATATTTTAAAAATATTTTATGTAATTTTGTTACGAATAGATTATAGATCTTATTATTAAAATCTCATTCAGAAATTTTACTTTTAATTAATGGATAGAGCCTTATTTCAATGAAAATGATAAGTGTACGAACACTTTTGGGAGCCACTGTATATAAATATATATATAAGTAAAGAAGGTATATGCACTACAAGATTACAGTAATTTTTAATATGAGCAGTATTAAATTGCTGCTGTGTTAATACTAAAAACAATATTCTGAATAAAAGAGATTTATCAAACTCATAATGCCTAGAATATTTTTCTAAAATTACATCTATCAAAATTGAATTTTGGTCTTTTAAAATAGTGTAACTTGAATTTATGTACATAGGAGCTTAAAATGTGTTCAGTCTCTTTTTGATGCATGTGTCATGTATTGTATTAGTTTGTAATTTTAAGTGCAAACTGTATATTCTGGGAGAAAATAATAATAATATATATATTTTTCTAAGGTTGTGGTAGGTTTGATGGAAGCAATTTATACTTTGGGCCACCAGTTCTTAGGCATACAGAAAATGTTTCTTCTAATCTGCATAGTTCATTTCAAAATCTTGGACATTATTCTCATCTTCTTGAAACTCCTAAAGGTATTTTTATGTTTTTTTTTCCTCCTGATTACATTAAACATATGTTTTATTACATTTTTTCCCTAGATTGTAAAGATTTACTGTTAGAGTGTTTGTGGTATGTTCTTTCCTTTAAAATTCCTTAAAAGGAAAGGTATTTCAAGATACATTCTAAGCATCGGAGATCTAAAATAATTTGTGTGTTCTGTTGTGTTAAAAATTATTTATCAGTGATACTTTTTAATCTTCGCTTGAATGTTTTGTAAAAATTAAGCAAACTTCATGACTAATGTGATACAGCTGCTAAATTTGTGTCTCATAAAAATCAAACATTTTATGCTAGTTAAATCCTGAATTATGAAATCTTTGATCAGAAGCAAATAACAAGCTTCCTGTGCCTTAAATTAAATATATTTCTTAAAAACTAATCCTATCCTGATGAAAGCATTAATTAATAATTATTAACCTACATGATTATTACTTATTCTAAGAATGCATCATACCGCCTGGTGGCGAAGTGGCTAGCGCGGCTGCACCACGGGTCGGGGGTTCGATCCCCGGGTCAATAAAATGAATACCAAGTTCACTAACACCGGGGGGTTCTGCAACAAGCTGACCACTTGTCCAAGGCATATGCTGATTCACTTTGGGGCCCAAAGGTCAAGAAAGCAGAAAAAGGGCACTGCAGGCCATAGCCCACTAGAGCTGTAGCGCAGCTGAGTTTGTTTTTTTTTTAAATAAATTTGAGAAGGAATCATATATACATTTGTTATCAAATTAATGTCATATTAAATGTTGGTACAATAAAATATTTACTATGAATACTTCCCCCCCCCTAAAATCATTTTCACTTTTGTTATTATTTAGCCAAGTGCTACTAATACTAGTGTGTTGCTAATGCTAATGCAAATAATACATTTCATGTCACTTTTTATTTCAGATCTCACATGCAGGCACTTTAAAAAATTAGGTTTATTATATATTTAAAATCAAGAATCGGTTTCATTTTTTACTTTCAAAATTTCATTAATTAAATAATGTTTTCCCTTCATGTATACATTGAAAGCCTTTCTAAATTGTCTTGTAATGTGATGTCTTACTGGTTTTTATAGCTTTGTAAACTTGATTTACTATTGTATTTTTGTTCATGTGGTTTGTTTGTTTTTGTGTGTAATGTAATATGGGCGCAGCCCCTTTATGTCTTAAGCCGAGCTTCGCTCGCCCGGACTGCATCCTAAATAAACAGTAAAAGCCTGACTTATCTGTTGTTTGACTAACCAGAAGGCTCAAATAATCAGACTATTTCAGAATTTTAGAAATTTTTTGAAATGGAAAATTATGCAAATGAGAAACCTGTGAAGCTATCTTAAAGTGCGAACCACAATTTGTAATATTTAAAATGTAAATTCAGTTATACAGCTTTTATTTCAGAAGTTGTTGATTGCCATCTCTTCTGCAGTTGTATCCATCATATTGTTCCAAAATTGTATCCTTTAAATTGGATACTCCTCATAGGAAGAGAAGAGGGAATATACGAGATATTCCAAAGTTGATGACAGGTGATGAGTCGATCTATCATGAGAATTATTCTCACCAGTGTATTTAATGTTGACTATTTAAAAAAAAAAAAAAAAAAAAAAAAAAACCCACCTTGTGAATTTAGTGTTAGTATTGGATAAGCACGATGTTGAAACATTCAAAAGATCTTCCTCTTGAATATTATGTAAACCTGATTAATTCTTAATAAGACTGTTAAGTTTTGTAAAAAAGATGAAGGCTGACTGCTATTGATGTATTTTTCTCTCGCATTTTGAAAAATAGTTTAAATTTAGGACCTGTCGTTAAAGACAACAGCATTCAATATATTTTCAAAAGTGAAACTTTATTTGAAAATTCATAAACAGTGGTGATGAAAAAAATTTTAAGATTTTATATTTTACAGCCATAACTAGTATTTCTTGATTTTCTTAGTAAAGAGCAAGCTGTTTCTTCAAATGTTTTTGCTAGAATGATTGGCACAATTTGCCATGATCTTTACCAACTTTTATGGTCAAGGGATTTCATAATCAAATAACTTAGTTTACTTTCATATGCTCAAAGCCTATAAAATAACTTAGTTTACTTTACATATGTTTAAATTGTTCCCTCCTCCTTTTTTAAAATCTTAACAGAATTTTAAATACAGTCTTAAGTTGGTAATAGACAAGATGACTGATGTGATGATTTTAAATGACAATTTCTTCTTCCATTCATTTGGCTTTTGTACCATGAATTGCATTTTTTGTATTCTCCAATAACTGCCCTGATTTTTTGTGTATCCAACATTTGGCTTTCTCGACATTTCTGGTATAGTTGAACTTTTATTGTAATATATGTATGCACAATAAACTGATGCATACATTGTACGCCAGTTTTATTAAAAAAGGGATGATGAAAATTTGTCATATGCTTAACTTCTTTACTGCAATGAAATATTAATTTTAAAAAAATCCTTAGAATCAAGTCAGCTTGTGTTCAAGAGAGAAACTCCCATTTCACCCAATGTGAGTACATCAAATGTATCTGTGTGCTCTCCTGTAGTGAAGTCTGAAAATTTAAATTCATATTGTGTTGATAGCAAGTTAAAGTCTCAAGTCTGTGTCCCAAGCAATCTCTCAAAGCGAGAATTTCGTTCAGGTAATGATAGATCTCTTTTCTTATAATTTTAATAGTAACACTTAAAATTTGAATTAAAAAAAATTTCTGTAAAATCTAAAAGTGTTTTATTTAATTATCAGTATGAATTTATACAGAAAAACTGTAGAAAGAACCTTTACAATTGTGCTATATTTTTCATGTTACAGTAAGAAACAGAGCTATGCGTACAAATTATAAGTTAAATATCAAAATTTAACACTGTAATACACTTTCACGTTATGTTATTTGGTTCTTACCACAGTTTCTGAACTGCTTTGCTTTGAAGTCTTAAAAAAAACTCATAATTTTAGGGCAGGTTTTAAAATGGCTTCAAGTTCATAATTGCATGTAATAATATAAAAATGATGAAATGTTGTTTGTACATTTATCAGATATAAAATTTTTTGTGGAGGCAGTCAGTCTATGAAGCAAAGCTCCATGTCCAAAAAAATGGCCCACCAGCGGCCAAGCGGTAAAGTCGCTGAACAGTGATAGTTCAGTCCGAGATCCGAATCACATGAACGGGCTGGCTGCATGGGAGTTTTCATTATTTCCCTCGTGTATAACATGTATTTGAGCAAGTTTTTCATAGAAAGTCCTCAATAAAGGCATCTCTCCCTTTAGGAAGATAGCCCTCAAGGTTTTGCCATAAAAACTTAAACTGAAACTTTTTTTCCTACCACAGCAGCATTGATGATTTGAAAATCGTAAATCCTGGTATGTGATTAGAATCAAAATCTTTCATACTTCATTGAGTGTTTTTTTAATTAACTTGCAATCAAAAGGAAAATGTCATTTAACTTCTAGGGAAAAATTACTGAAATTCCCCCTTTTTTTTTGCAGTAATTAAGAGATAACATTAAACATCTATTTTAAATAATAAACTTTTGAGAATGAAGTTGTTGTTTCTTCTGTGTTAAGATTCATTTTATTATTGCTATAATTCTCTTAATTTATGTTTGCCTATTATAGGAATAATTTTATTATATGAAGCATACAATGTAAACGAAATGCAAAATTTGTCAGCATCATGATCAAGCATTTAAAAAGAGTTAATTTGTTAAAGGTTTTTAAAGAAATTTTGATTTGTAAATTTTTAGCCCTCCTAGCAGCCTAAACTTCTCTTAAAAGGGGTATGAGTAAATGCTATTTTTAATATAATTCCTAAGTGACCCTCCCACTTTGTATCTTGACTCCTTTCTTCCAATATATATGCTATCTTAGTTTTTAACCTGTATATGCATATCTTGGCTACACAAAGGATTTAATATATAAGCTGCTTTTCTCAATTTAAATGTTTTTGTAATTATAGAAATTTTTTTATTGTATAAATAGTTTATTTTTTGTATAATTTGTATGTAATTTATATGCAACTTTTGTTTCAGCTCAATCTCCTGGTCAAGACCCCTATTTCTGTGTGACTGATTACAGAAACTGCTCAAGTGCACATCCATCCACAGATAAAGCACGTTTTTCTCCATCATGTTCATTGAAAAATAACTTTCATGGATCTTCTCAGGATAATCTATATAAATCTAAGGCTATTAATGGAACCCAGGAAAACACCTGCAATGCCTCACCATTGAAAAATGTATATTTTTCACATTTTGAAAGTGAAAATGTGAATACTCCACAATGCAAAAAGTTTAGTAAAATCAGCGATGGGCAGTCTCATTTAGGTTTCAGGAAAAATTTGCAAGAAGTGACCAAAACTAAACATTCTCCTCATTCTTTAGATAGTTTTTTGTTGCATACTAATCACTTGTCTAAGAAATACAACTTTGACACCTCAGCTTCACCAGAGAGTCGTAGACCGAAAGATAGTATTTGCAAGGTCAAGTCTGAGAAAAGCAGTCCATCCGACTGCAAATTTCAGAAGTTAGAATCGAAAGATTCTGTTATATATAAAGTCCCAGAGTGTAGAAATTCTGTGTTCAACATCCCTACCTCAGTTGCTCATTTGAAAGTAGAGCCAAGTGATAAATATTTTTTACCTAGCTGTTCTTCCACTCCACAGAGTTGTGTTGCTACATCATATGCAAAATCGGGTCCATTAGTCTTGATCAACAGAGAGATACCTCCTGAATTAAGGACAGGTGCTACTTACCATAATAGGGTATATTCAAACCCATGTTCTCTTAGCAAATCTTGGCAGTATAATGATACAGCCATTGCAAGTCCAGATAAATATTCTAAACCTCAAGAAGCAGCAAAACCACCTACTCGAGATATGCCACAGGCCAACTCCACATTGCTCGAAGGCTTAATATCTGTTGCTCAAACTGCTCCTCAAGACATTGATGTCTTGGGAATGGACAGAAAATTGCAGCGCAGTGAATTTCCTTGCACTTCTCTTAAACCTTCTGAGACATCTGAACCTGATGATGATGTTCAGATAATCAGTATTCAGACCAAGACTCCTCTGTCACGTGAGTTATCTCTTGTGTGCCTATATAACATTTTAGTTTATTAGAATTAAATTTGCATAATGAAAATACACCAATTTTTTACTTGTGTGGCCTAGTTCATTATATTACCTCTAGATATTAACTGATTTCATGAAACTGTTTAAGTAAAGAACAATTTTTATATTAAAAGAGAATTATATATATATATATATATATGTCTTTGTATTGTACATAAATTAATAGTTTTTCTACTTTTTTTTAATAGCTAAATGTAGTGTAAACCATACTTCCGTTATAAAGACAAGCTGCTCTTCATCTTCTGATATCAAGCCTCTCATTTCAAAGGTAATATATTCATTGATTGAATTTAAAGACAACTGTATCTTAGGAAGTTTTAATTTTATTTGTTTATGGAAGAAAAAGTTATGGTGTAAAGTAACAGAAAGACATTAATAGTTCATATTTCTTGTTCTCCCATCGTTATTGTAACAGAAGATTACCTGTAACATGTTCATTTATCACGTGTATTATCTGTGTTTAAACTATAGATCTTTTAACTGCAAGAAACTGTGTACAAGTTCCGTTATGAATCCATGTAATACTGAAGTAGAATTAGCATTATAAATATCCATAAGCACAATATCTAGGAAAATACTTTCATGGTCGATTCTAACCTAGACAAATGGTTCAGAATTTCTGATATATTAAAAATTTTTGTTTTAATTAGTGCCATCTTTAGTCATTTTCAAGAGATATTTTTGTTAGTTAATTGTGGCCTTGCTGTAAATGTTTTTTTTTTTTTTTTTTTTTTTTTTTTTGTAAACTTGTGGGGCCATTGTAATTTAACTTTTTTCTGTTATTTACAGTTTAACAAAAATACTTATGTTATTTATGAAATTAATTTTTCTAATTAATCTTAGAGACGTAAAGCTAAGGTAAAAGGTATTTTCATTGTAACTGTTAGATATAATTTTTAGATTCTTCACTTAATTTAATTTTTTAAATGGTTTTGATTTATATGTATTTGAATGGTCAAGTTTTAAGTTATTCAGAAAAGGGAAGTTTTCTTTTAAAGTTTTTAATTTAAAGAAATTAATAAATCCTGTAAATTTCATTTCATTCTGACATTATTCATGCTAAGAATTGTTCTCCTTTCTCTTTCCCATGCAGGATGCTAAAGAAGAGCAAATTAATATTCAAAGTCTTCATCCTACCTCCTCTTGTCAGAATAGTAAAGTGGAAGATCAGGAAATTCAAGATTTGAGTATGAAATCATCAGTAAGAAGTGATCAAAAAGTTAATGAAAAACAGGTCTTGTGTGATAATTCTGATTCAGACTGTGAGATTACTGGTTTAGTGATTAATGAGCGTAATAAAATAAGTGTTAAACAAAACAGTTATAAACAGGTCACAATAAAAAGCGAAAGAACATCAGACAATTTGAGTGATTGTGAGGATGTTACGAGAAAAGAGTTAGTACAAGAAAAAGACACTCTCTCTAATGTGAAGCATTGTCCTGTTCTTGAAAGCAAACAAGAAATAAAGACTGATAATAACATTGGCTGCATTCGTGCTTCTAGTTTAACCAGTTGTGTTAAAAATGTTGCATTTGATCCATCTTCAGTATGTGTTCCAGATATAGATGAAAATCATGGTCTCACATTGTTATTAAACACAATTGAAAAAATTACGTCATTTGAAAAAAGAGACATTTCTGTTCATTCTGATAAATCTCATTTAACTGAAATTGATTATCAACCTGGAATTTACACACGGCCAGAGTTTTCAAAAACCTATGGTTTAGATTTGTTATCAACAATTGCCGGTGAACGTTTGATAGCAGAATTCAAAACCGTTGATTCTGAATCCAGTATTTCTTATGAAAATGCATCTAACTGTTCTAATGAGAAAGAGGATGCCAAGCTCGTATCCAATGAAGAGCAATTAAAATGTGTTGAAAATTCAGTAAACAGTCAGAAAACATCTGTCTTGGAGATGCAAGGCAGGCTGGTTGAATTGCAAGAGAAATACAAGCAAAAGCAAAAAGAGCTCTCACGTTTAAAATCAAAGAGGTTGGTTTTGTTTTGTTTCATTTCCTGTGCTTTGTTTAAATCTTTAATTTTCAATTGTTTTATTCAGGTAATGTTTCTATCAGTTGTGCAACAAAGCATTTTAATTAGGCTCAGTATATAAAATGACAGCTTATAAACTAAAGTCCATCCATATTTCTTTATATGTTGAGTTAAATGAATTCTTCTATTTATTTTCACTTTAAATTAAATAAACCAAATAATACTGCAAGAAAAACAGCTTCATTTGTTTATTACACCATAATTTATTCATTTCAATGAAAGTATATGTTTTATACTTTTCAGTGGGATTATTAGTAACAGATAATTAACATTTGCTAGTACATTTCTGATGAATGAAAAGAGAGGTTAAACCATCAAAAATTCACTTCAAGAAAACCATTCATTTAGGTCTTGAATTCTACTGCAGGTGGGTCCATAGGTAAACTTTAGCATTGTAAATTAATGAACATAAAAATAGATTCAAAGACCTTCTTAACCCTTGGCAACCATTCTTTCATGAATAATTACATGGACAAGTAGACAGCTGTAGACTCAGCAGAAATTTTTGCCTTGTTTTTAAGGTAGAGAAGTAGCAATAAATCCAATAGATGAGATGCACACCAATTTGCAACTTAAGTCAGAATCCTAATTTGATATTGGATTTATAGGAAAATTGCACATCTCAAGTGAATGTAATAACAGGAGGGCAGAATATGTTTTCTTTTTAAAAGAAGGATCCATATCTGCTTTTGTTAGAAAGAAAAAGGGTGTTCTTATTTGTTGAACTGTTTATCTGCATGAACAAAATATAATAAGAATCTTTCTTTTGTAATCATCACAAACCTCGTGATGAAATTCTTCCATAAAGTAGACAAAACTGAGTTTAATTTACGAGATCAGAGTTTAATATGCATTAAAAATGCCTGTGTTTTAGGTAGAGTGAATTTTATCATCTGAAGTTGATGTCACTAATCCTCCTGATTTGAACCTGTACCAAATCCAAACTATTTTATCATTGTCAAGAAGGAAGGAGTAATATTTGTCACCAACTGAAGCCTTAGACACAGTATAGGTGACAGTATGAGTTTGCAAATTGTCTATCCAAATTATGAAGGAGAACTCTCAGAGGGATAGGTCCAAGGATCTCACACTCCTCTTCTCTAATCTCTCATTGGGGCTGTAAGGCAAAAATGGCTAATATTGCAAAGACATTCTATAGTAACAAATACACATGCTTTTTCTAGGATTAAAACCCAGGCCTAATACAGGCAGCACCACTAACCATCTGATAATAATTTTTTGTAATGCTAAGTTATATGCTGTGTATATAAGAGAATATTGCATTCTTTTTTAAAGAGAAAGTCTTGATCACTCTAATTTTCTATAGAATTTAAGTATTGGGTTCTTCCCCCTTTTTTTTTCTTTTTATTTATTTTATGTGATTTCATTATAAACCATTTGAAGCATAACTGCCTCTGATTTTTTAACATAATAATCTTAATGTCAAAAGCATAATATAATAATAATCTAATGTCAAAACTTTTAAAGTTATTTAAACAAAGAAAGTGGCACTTTATCTCTACATATAATAAAAGAAAGAGTGTGTGTGTGTTCGCATGCGTTTCGTTCGTGCTGCGCGTAAGTTAATAGACCCTCGGCTACGAAATTTGGTACATAGGTGAATCTAGACAAGAGCCAGTGCACCTCCAAGTGATTTTTTCGAAATTCGAATTAGTGAGATTTTACTCTACATACTCCAGATTCACATCGTCATGAAAGGTAGCCAATTAGCTATTTTACGAACTTAAAAAAGTTGTGTTTCAAAAATCAATTACATACGAATTTATTTAAAAAAGTGAGCTTCAACACCTTTTCAATGCATTTTTTCTAAAAAGTTATTTTAAAAATGTACAGATATTTTTCTTTGATTTTTGGACACGTTAACTTTTATCCTTGCGACGCTTACAAAAGAATTTTGGAAAATGGTACTATTTGGTATTTAAAAAAAAAAAAAAAAAAAAAAAAAAAAAAATTAACTTCCGAGTACACTTCTTACATCACATCTTAAAATGTGATTGGCAACAATTTTCTATCTTATTGTTGTTGATAGATTTTGATGAAATCGCTCATTTTCAATAATTTCATCTTTTAGAAATATGGGGTTGGCAACAATTTTTGTCGTATTTCTTATGTCAATGTTTTTAAGATTGGCATATTTCATTGTCATTTATATTATATATATATATATATATATAAATTATATAAAATTTTTATTATTGATTTATTTTATTTAATTTATTTATTTATTTATTATTATTATTATTATTATATATTTTTTTTTTTTTTGATTAAAGTTGTTCTGCAGAGTAAAATTCTGAACGGAATATTTGTTTTCGAGTTGCTTTCATGTTATTTTTGCTTATTTCACTGTTGTAAGATATTGAAAAGTGTGCATGATTTTTTTTTCTTAACGGAAAGTTGGTGAATTTTTTTATTAGGAAATTTAATATTGTATTAAGGGATATAGCTTATTTCATTCTAATTTTTTCTCTTGAAAATATAAGATAAAATCTCATTTATTATACTTTTCTTTTCGAAATTTTTGTGTTTTTGGTATTCTTTTTATGTTAGTTTTTGCTCATTTCACTGTTTAAGATATTGAAAAGTTTTGAGTGATTTTTTGGAACAAAGTTCTGAACTTGTTTATACCATTTGAGTTCTTAAGATTTTGCAAAGGGAAGTTGGTTTATATTATAAATAATTAATATTTGTATTAAGGGATATTGCTTATTTCATTGTAATTTTTTTTTATGAAGGTGTTCTGCATAGTAAAATTCTACGCAGTTTTTAAATTTAACATTTGCCGTTCCCTTCATCCATTTTTCCGGTACATTTAAACGGCTGGCAGCGAAGCTGCTAGTAAAGGAATAAAACTTGTAAAAGGCCACAAAACAGCAGTATTTCTCATAAAAAATACATAATTATTTACTGATTATTGAAGTTTTTTTTAATGTATATTTTTCGTAGGTTATCTGGTGGTTATTTAAAAAGAAGACATAAATGCACAAAGAGGCTATCAGAAACCTCAACTGTATCAAATAGCACTGCTTCGAGTACAGATTTAAGTAGCATTGTTTCTTGTCCAAATAGTGACCAGGGCTTCCTGACTTCTGAGAATGAAATGTCATTTGAAATAAAATCAGAAAAGGTAATTTTTCTATTTAAAACTGTTAATTTTTGTAATGGAAAAGTAGAAATACAGTAGAAATACTAGTTTCTTTTTTATCTTATTAAATGTAATTTAATTTTTTACGCTGAGAATCTCTCACGTCTTCAAACTAAATTTTACTTGGTTAATGAACTGTTTGGTCCTTCGTGTATCTGAATTATTCAATTACTCTGATATTAAAGATTTTTTTTTATGTGAATGATCATCTATCTTCTATTCTCTTCTTTAATGAATATTAATGACATTTTTTAAGATTACAATATGAGTGGTTTAATATGTAAAAATTGATATAAAATTCATTTCAAACACACAAAATGATAAAAAAATATATTTCAAATTAAGATTTAAAAGTGATTTAATTTTCTATCTGATTAAAGTTATTCGTACCAAAAAGGTACAGTTTTTACTTCCTTGTTTTAAGTAAAGGAAGTATTGTAATCACAAAAAAAATCCGAGTATCATATTTAAACGAAAATAACCATTTTGATCACTATTGAATGCAATTAAACGATGTTTTTGCATGACATGTACGTAAGGACAAAATATATTATTCTTTTTCACCAAACAAATTTTAAAATAGATTCAGAGAAGATTTTTTTCATGGCATCTGTGCCTGCTTGCCTGCTGGCTGAATTCCTGCTGCTTATTTTTGTGTAGAAACACACTAATCTTAATTGTAAAAGAATTTAATTGTTTTAACTGCATTTAGTGTTTTATGTTTTCTACATCTTCCAATTTTGAATGGAAGGTATTTTGAGTTTTTATGTATTTTTGCCTTGCCGCGAAGTGAGAACTGAATTAATTGAAATGAGAAATATATCTCTAATGAGAAATTCGAGGAAATAAGTTTAAATGAAATGCAAGTAAAAATGCGTATAATTTAATGTTCTGTACTAGGAAGTCATGCGGTATATACATCGTATTTTTTACAAAAAGATCTCATAAGAGATAACTTCCAAATACAGAAATGAAGTTTCATCTCTTGAAGCTGAATTTGATCATTAGATGTAAGTTATTCTATATTCACTGAAGTCAAAACGTTATAACCATCTCTACGTTTTTCAATGAACTCATCTGGATGACATGAAGGGCAGGTGATTAAGTGGGAATGGTTTTTGACTGCTGCTGGAGAAGGTAAGGAATCATTTTCGCACTTTGCACAGTTTGTTAGAGTAGGTGGTCATAATGTTTTGGTGTTTTGGCTCTTTATGTATTATAAAAGAATTATTTGCTAAGCTTGAAGCATTTTTCGCGTATATAAACTAAAAGATAATCAATTTGTGACAGAATTATTTGCTAAGAACGTCGCAGCGCGCAATGAATTGAAAGTTGATCTGTCAGCACTATCTTATCACCGTCAGGTGTTTTTATTTTATTGGCGTTGTTTGTTTGCTTGATGAGTTGATTTATTGGATGTTTTTATTTTATTCCTACCGAAATTGTATCTATTCGAGTACTGTCTTGATATGTTTAAATCAAATTCTCGTCATTATATTCCTGCCGATATGAGAAAAGTGACAACAGGTTATTGAAAACGAAATATTTGGGATGCAATTAGGCGGTATTCTTGACCCACAGGATATTTGTTACATATTCTAAAAGATTATAGGAGAGAACAGCGGAACTTTGTCTGAACAGAATTATGTCTGTTTATAGAATTAAGATAAAGTATTCACATAAAACGAAGCAACTTAACAAACAGACATTGAAGAAAGTTTATGAGAACAATAATATTAGCTTTTTGTTTTATTTGATACCCTTTAGATCATATTGTTCTTATTTCATAATCGGTTTCATATGTTTACTTTTATAATTTCTGCTCTATCTATAGATTTAAACGATGATCTATATCCGGATCGCGAAGTACGCGATTCCGGATTAAAGACTTTTGACTGTATATGTTTGATTAGATCTCGGTTACTAACTTAAAGGGCGGCGAAAAAAAGTATTCTTCATGATTGGGAATATGGTTCGAATGATAAAATTGTTTTGAATGGCCATTTCTATAACAGAGTATCAAGATGAAAAAAAATTTGGAGTTCTGTTTATTGTCAGATAGATAATTTAAAATAATTATTATGAATGAAAAGTTACATAACCAAAAATATATTGGTAATATTTGATAATTTTCACTATTTATTATTTTCGGGTTTGTTTATTTTTGTAGGTTGAAAATGATGACACTGAAGCAAAGAAAAGTGTGAAGAAAAATGCTCCTGAGGTTCTGAAAAACGAATTGTTACCAAAATCTGATTTAAATTTAACAGAGAAGAGAATTACAAGAAGAAGTTGTAAGAAATACAATATAAAGTGTATCACTATAAAGTCATCTGATGAAGATTTAGCAACTCCAGAAAAGCCAAAAAGAGTTAAAAAGAAGAATGTTGTAAATATGGAAGAGAGTCAAAATTCAAAAGATCGTTTGAATGAAGAAGTTTCTAAAGCAACCAATAACCACTCTGACAATAAGAATACCAAAGTCTATTCCTTACGTCATTTATCACAGAATCTTAGTAAGAAGTGTAAAAGATCACTTTTATTAGATGATTCAGGTAATTTGCAAATTATAATCCTTGTATAATTATAGGAGGAGAAATAAAACTAAGAATACCTTTTATTGTAGGACTGTCAGTATGACAAGTTTAAATGACCTTTGGCACATTATACTTGTAACTAAAATTTTAAATTAATGTATTGATTTGCCAGTATTTGGCTTGAAGTACAAAGTATAATAGTCAATAATAATAAAATTAAAAATTTTAAATTCTTATCAATAGTACTTTGAATTGCTTTTTGATATTTCATTTAACTTAAATAGTTTTAAAATTATCAAATGTCATCTGATGGAAATTATTGCATTAAAAATAATTAACTTTGAAAAAAAATATTTATCATTATTCTTTAAAATGTGAAAATTTATTGAAATTTTAATCATTGTCCTTCTCTCCCTCCTTCAATATGCATTTTTATTTTAAAACTAGTTATTTTACAAATACTAAACCTATAATGCAATTCATTTGCAACTTTTAAGATTTTCAAGATTTTTTTTAATTATTTAGTCTCAGAATGCAAATATACTTTTAATAATATTCTCTGATCACGTGTACTCGAACTAGGACTCAGCTGTGACCAGCTGATTAAAGGTTACTAAGCACTAATAGCTTCTTAATGAATTTCAGTCCTAATAAAGAAATGGCCAAATGCATAGATCCCCCCCCCCAGCTTTCTTTTATGTATGATAAAGTCTTAGTTTCGTAGAAAGCATTGTTTTTAAGTTATTAATTTTTTTTAATGCTTTATGCTAGAAATTACTTCTCATCGGTTCATGATATCCGCGTGTATTGTCATCTCTATTTTGGTTATGTATTCTTGACTTAAGTAAGCAAATAAGCAGAAAATGGTTTAAAGAAAACAGACTCTTTTTTTTTTTTTTTTTTTTTTTTTTTAAATCGCTAAATAAAAAATTGAAGATTAAGTTGATGATAATCTTTTTTTTAAACAAATGATAATAAAAGCTGTTAATATTTAGTTGTACTAGAGCTATATTTATATACTGGCTTATTTAGAAATTAAAGTTATCTTTTACTTTGCATTAGTCATCTTAAAGCATTTTCTTTTTTCAAGGCATGTTCAAACATGGTAATGTTAAGTTATATTACATATACTTACATAATATTTGTTTAAAATGATTGGTATTTACTTTTAAAAACTATAAAATGTTATTTTTTTATAATGGTATCTTAAAATGTATTGAATTTCAGTTTCAGTTTCAAAGACTGTACCGAGTAAGAGAAAATCTGATAATCCGAAGAAATTCATGCCTTCCAAACAAAGTAAACTTAGTGGTAATTATAAAAATTGTATTTATTTTAAAAACTACAAATGATAATATAAAAATACATTCATTGCTTAACACATTATTTTTTATGTCAAAATATGTCTGGAAAAGTGTTTAAAAAATTTAATATTTTATCTGCTTCTTTTCCAAAAATATACTCATTTTTTCTCTCCTTCAAGATGGTATATGGAACACATTAAAGCTGTTATGCCATTTCTATTAAATTATAAATTTCACATTATGGCAAATGTTTTACTAGCCAAATATAAAACTCTTCTAAATATAAATGAATAGCAACTAAATTGCTTTAAATATTATGAATTTATTAAAATTCTATTAATGAAAAATTGTGATTAAATACTTCTTGTCTATGGTTATTTAAAGAAACGTAATATAAAATTATTGCTGTATTTGTATGGGGAAGCTGTTTTTCTGCTCTAATTTTAAATACATGAACAGTAGGCAAATTTTGAATTTGCTTGTTGTTTGTACAATGCTGTAATGAAATTACAATAAATGCTGGTCAATCAGGTTGTTTTGTATGTTTCTGAAATTTCAACAGTTAAATTTTCTTGTGAAACACTCTTCATGCTTTTATTATTTTTTCTAGATATAAGAAATTAAGATTAATATAAATAGTTATAAAAATCAAAATTTCACTAAAATATAAATCTGTTAAGTTGGTTAAAATGATTTTTTTCCAAGAAAATTTTTAGTATTTTGACTTCACTTATAATTTTTTTTTTTTATTTTTTTATACAGAGACTATAATTGCCAAACACTTGAGAAGCAGGATATTATTTGATACTTCTGGTTCTCTATCAGATGACAATGATCTAAAGGTAAGTATCGACTGAAAATTTAAACCCTGCAATAAAATCTTAATGAAGTTTCAGAATGTTATATTTTTACGTTAAGTATGGTTTATAGAAGGAAAAGTGATAAATAATCTTTATTATTTACTTAGCAGGATGGAGTTCCTGAAGAATTATATGATGCTTTCATGAAGTGTAATTTAGATGAAAGGAAAAATGTTGGTATGATAAAGAAAACATGTGTAGCATCTCAAGATCCTTTGGGCTCACCAGGTAATTATTGCATAAAAATATCTTTTAGGTATTAAGACGTAATGTGTTTCTACTTTGAAACAATTGCAACTGATGCTTGGATTATACTTGGTTTGGAAGATGCGATGCAGCTACATTAGATGTACATGTGTTCATCCTCTCCTCTTCCTCAATAAATATGTTAATCTTTTTAATTTGTAAGTTTGAAGAAATCCAAACAGCTTAGCTTGAGCATAAAAATGTCATGAATTCATAAGTCACGTATTCATGTAGATACTGGTTGTTCATTACTACAATAAAATAAAGTATGCGTATTAAAGCTTTTAATTTCTCAAATCTGATGGTAATGTTATATATAGCCATAGTATTTCATGTTATTTAAAACAAATGATTTATGCAACTAAAAGAAAACATAAACTTGAGTAATTGATAAATTAATTATAGTATCGTAAATCTTCTGATATTACAGTTTTCATAATTTCTTTTTCTTATCATACTTTGTTGCAAAAATAGTACATTATATAATACATATTGCATGCAATATTAGTAAGATTCCAATAAATGTAGGCTGTTAATAGTTAACTTCAGTATTAAGTAGTTGATGCCCTAATCTTTATTGTTCAAGCCTCAGTTGTAATTGCAAAATTTATATTTCATACCTTAGCTAAATTTTAATAAATTCTGCAAGCATGCAGTAATATTGCTGTGAAATGAGAGATTGTCTGAGAAAAGGAAGTGGATGTTTCTGTCTTTAACTAAAGATTCTTTGAATAAATAAATAAATGTTAATCATTTCTGAGGGGGGAATTTAACAAAGTGAATGACAGTAAGTGGTACTTATAATAATTACCAATTCATTAGATATTTTTCTAATAAAAGCAGACAGAAGGTTATGTTTGATACATAATAAAATATATATATATATGGCTTTCTTATATATTTTCAATATTTTTCATTTTTATAATTCTTTGATTAATCTTCCCTTTCTCTTTTCAGCACCTAGCAGATTAAAAGCTGAACACTTAATAGAGAAACAGCGTTTATTAGCATTGGAAGATGGCTTATTTTATGCAGGGTGTATTAAAGAGCTTCAGTTGTCTGACAAGTATGTATTTCTTGAACTTTTATTTCATTTTCATTTAAGAGCAGATTTTAGTATTCTGCTTGAAATGTAATGAAGAAAAATCTGTTGGGAATAGTTTGAAATGCAATTTTTATTTTACGAATATGAAGCCTTTTTAAGAGCTTTTTTATAGTGTTTTATATCTATATCTTCAGTGATTTTAATTTTCTGAATTTTTTTATAAATACAGAAGAAAATACAAAAATGGTTCTCACTATTTCAGATATGGCATTGCTTTAGATGGACAACGAGGCAATAAACTTCATTCTTTCTCACGAGAAGAATTGCTGTCACAAGCAGTTAGTACTATTATTATTATTTTTAGCTATTTAAAATTTTAAATTCCTTTGTAAGTAAAATGTAATTAATTGCTGTAGTAGTTAGTTCATTGGTGTAGATAGTCATTGCTGTGTGGGGACTTTTTATTTGAATTTTACTGTAATTTAATGTCTTATTAAGATGTATGCAAAGTATTTACATTTATCTGAAATTAGAATGAATAATTACATCATAAGAATGACAATCTCTAAATTAATAGTTATTGATCAGTTTTACCATTCCATAACTCTTAGTGTATTTAGTTATGTCATTTTCCATAATGTATGTTTTTCAATTTTAAAAACTATGTAATATCTGTGGGTTTGGAATTGTTTCCCTATTTACTATTATGATGTGTTCTTTTTGAGAGAGTTTTTTATAAATGCATAAAGTTTTATGCCAGGAAAATTCACCGCCACTGTCATTATACGAGATAATGCGGATACATTTGTGATTTGATACACAGCACAGTTATGCAGAAACTTAAGCTTTAGAATCTTCCTGGAAGATTCAGTTGTTTGAGTATTGGTATCATCTGCAAGATTGGTAGTGTTCTTTTTAGGCAGATTCTATCATGAAATGATACTATCTCCTTTTAAGAAAGCCTTTTGTCACTAAAAACAGTTGAAGCAGATATTACTTCCCCACTGGGCACACTGTGATATCTTTTTATTCACTGACAAAAAGCATGTTTTGATTGAATAATATCATTATTTAATTTAATAACCCTAAAATTTTTAATTCCATTGAATTAAAAGTTTCAGAAGCTTCAAAATTCAACAATAATGGCTTTGTAAAATAAAAAATCCTATAGCTTTCATGTTTGAATGTGAAATTAAATGATGGAAAAAAGAAATTATGAAAACAATTTATTTTAATGATGCCACTAAAATAATTAAAGTAGATTTCCTACTTCCATTTATTTATTCCAGCATGATCAGATAGATTTCTTCTCCTCATCAGATATTTGCAAATTTATAAGGACGTATTATACATTACTCTACTCATTCTCATCGCATTCAAAATATTGTAAACCTTATCTTGGTGACCACCTCTTGATGCAAAACCTCTAAAACAGACTAATATTTCTGAGGACATTGCATTTTATTTTCTGAGACAATCGACTATACTCGAGACCAAAATTTTATGGAACGTGGATGGTCATCTAGAAAAGATTAGTTTTTATTCATACCTAGTTCTCTTTGTTGAAAACCATGGCACAGCATTAATATGCACAGTCCTTGGTTGGTGTTACCATTTCGAAAAATACGAGGTCAGATTTATTCTGTAGATGGCTGATTCTCAGAATGTTTATGTTCGGTCAAACTTAGGGTTTTTAAAATTTAATTGGTCTGTACTGCTTAAAAACTGAGCGATTCAATTTTTATGAACATTTTTTACAATGTTTTAATGAAGCATGTCTCTAATGCCATGTGTTATATTTCTGATAGAATTTTTTGTTCCCCTCTCATTTTTATTGAATATGTTGTTTAATGCTTTAATACTTTTTAGATTACAGAATCAAAGCCTTTGACTTCAGATCTTCCAGAAGGTACTAGAGTATGTGCATACTGGAGCCAACAGTATCGATGTTTATATCCAGGTGTTGTTGGAAAAGGTAAAAAACTAAGATACGATGTATAATTTATCAAATTTTATTTTTGAAAGAAAATAGAGTAATATATTACTTATTTAAAGTTTTAAAAAAATTAATATGGAATACTATTTTATTTGATAGAAAACTTCTTAGTATAACTAATAAATACACTCAAACTTGAGAATAAAGGGAAATTAAAAGAAGCCTTCAATTTAAAATTTTATTGCATGAAAAATATAGTTGTCATATAGAAAAACTGAGTTTTGTTTTCTTAGTTCTTCAGTGGAGTGTTTGGTAAATAGTGATTTGGCATCAAAAGAGACTGGAATGATAAAGAAAAGAGATTCTTAATTTTAAAGAGACATTTTTATGGTGCGTTTTTAATTAGTCTAATGGATAAACTTGAATGATTAAGTATTTAATGAACAGATAGGAAATATTCCTTAAATTGGGAATAATTGGATAAAATGGAATGCTAGCATTAGGAGTTTAGATAAAATTTTAAGCACACACAATCTGGAATCTGTACATTTTTAATGAAATAGAAAAAATGTGAGTTAATATCTGTTAATTTTAGAAAAGACCAAGAGCTAAAGCCAAAAATATTATTAAAAGATGTTATCGAAGATTTCAGTCAAATTTTGCTGCAAGTGAATACTTGGTGTTTGAACATAAAGTTATTTAAATTACTATGTCATGGAGATTTAATAAATTGATTGCATTTTATATTGTGAAGAACTTTGTTAGATAAAATACTATGGTATTTTTATATTGCAAGCTAAAGCAGCCGTATTCAATCTCTTTAAGTATTTGAGAATAATTTTTTTAAGCAGTAATTTTCATATTTAAATGGTGACTAATATATATTTTTTTTGTGCATGAATTTTTTTTTTTTTAATTTTTTTTTTTTTTTTTTTTTTTTTTTTTTTAAAGATAGCTTTCTGACCATAAATTGCAGTAAATGTGTTTCTTAAATAACTTGCTTCTATTTTATTTATTTAGATTTGATATTTAGAAATCATTTTATGCGTTACATTAAATATGTACTTATCCATATATGCAAACTGAGATTATTTTCTCTGCTGTCTTTTTAATATTATCTCTGTTTCAAATATTCTTACATTTTCTGTTTTACTTTTTCCTGAAGCACCATCTCCAAGTGCTGACTGGTCGGAGCCAAGGGTGTTTGTATTATTTGATGATGGAGATTCAGGGCAAATCCCTATAAAAAACATCAGATTGATACCAACAGATATTTTACCTCGTAAGTATTAATTCTTAGAATTATATTATATAAAGAAAAAAAGATTTACTATGCATTCATAATTTCTATAAGTGAATGTTTGAGCTTGATTCAGAATTTTGGCTCAACAGCATATATTTTTTCTCATTCCTTTTGATTTCTGTTTTCCCTGACATGCACTTCACGAAACCTTTTAATTTTTTTCCCTTCCATCCGTCAACTTTAATTTAGCATTGTGCTTAGGCATGATAATTTTAAAACATTGAATACAAAAATTGAATTTCACTTCTGTTAAGTCATGCAAAACTTAGAGTAAACAGATGGAGGATTCTATCAGTTGAACCTTGGCAAAATTCTGTATTTAGGGTAATTTAGATCTTTGATCATTAGAATAGTTGAGGGAGGGAGCTGAGTTTTTCCAAATCAAGCATTTCTGTGTGCTGAGCATTGTTGAAAATTTATTTCTGTTTTGTTTGGTTTTGATGTTTTTGCTCAGCAGTAACCAAATGACTTAAACAGGAAGTGGTAGTAGTTTAATAAGCCATGCCAGGCAGTTGGAGTAGTGTGGTTACATGAAGCTTTTATGCTTCTTTTTATGTGTAATAAAAATAGAAACCAGTTTTCTTTAGTGAATCGTTCAGAAAAACATCCCTGTTGATTAGCAGTACCCCTAATAGTTTTGCTGTAATTAAACAAAAAAGTCAATTTATTGCTTTAATCATCTCAGGTTGTATGCCTTGAATACAGTAACGTCATAGTAGTAGATTTTTCCCAATAAAAAGTCTTAAATGATTGGAATTCAAATTTGTAATGCAAAACTGCTCTGTTGCAATAAATTAACCACCAAGTAAAATGAACTAGTACAGATACTTTGAATTTATTTATTTTATAGTGTTGCGTACAAGTTAAAAAAATTATATATTTCTTTCAGTTATTGGCAATTCTTTACACAGTTTCTAACAAAGGGAAATTTTCTGTTGAAATACATATTTGACTATATATCTTTTTCAGCGTTTTCTTTCTTTCTTTCTTTCTTTCTTTCTTTCTTTTTTTTTTTTTTTTGTGTGTGTGTGTGTGTGTGTGTGAACATTGTGTATCACTGTTATGTGATTCAGTGTGTTAATTTTTCATCTATATAACTAGTATAATATGAAATATGTCATTGATTTTTTATAACTTGCTTTGTAGATGAACCTGGGCAGAAAGTGGATTCTCAAATGACATCATCCAAGAATGCAGATAATTCTCTCAAAAGATGCACCAGAAGACAAACTTCAAGGACACGAAGTTTCGATATGAAGATGAAAAAATGTGGTGAGAATTTTTAACATTGAATCACAAGAATATTGCTACACTTATTATATACCTCTGTGGCTTTATACTGGTTAATGTATAAATGTAAAACTGAAATGTTTGTTTTTTAGTGTTCTGAAATGGTGCACATAAACATTATTATATTTAAAATATGGATATGTGCATATGGGTTCATAATAGAATGAATGCACACATAATTGATGATATCCTGATAAAATTTATTTTACCAAAAGGAGCACTTTACATTTCTGGAACTTTCAACAAAAATATTTGTTCGGCTGTTTTCAGTATCACAGAGTACAATCAGTAATTAAACTTCAGACTACTAAGAATGTTAAACACAGTGTCAGGTATTTTTAAATTCCAGTGAAGTTGGCAATAAAAATGAAGAAAAAGAAAAAGTTTAATATGTAGAAAAGTTAGATGCATATTGTTATTCTTCCGCACAGCTTCTTTCCTGATTAATATATTTATTAGAATTGTGTTACTAGTTTAATAATTTAATCTTAAAGGCATATTGTCTGGCTATGGAAATAACTTGTGATGTATGATTTAATATACATTATTGGTTACTATTTCCAACATTTTTTATTAGGGAAATCTTTTTAATTGAAGCTGCTCACAATTAAAGTTTTTTTTTGGGGGGGGGAAGACAATTTGCAACTTGGGAAAGCTTTCACTGCTGTTTGACCTTTATCTTGAAGAAGGTAGTAAATACCTTAATCGTCGTACCAAAAGTCTGTTTTAAAATACATTGTCTAGAAATATTCTGAACTTCCTTTTCTCCCATAAACTAGTTTTAAATTCTTTAGTTATTAACAAATTAAAGGCATATTACTGAGGAATAGTGTCTTCAAAATGAAGGACACACATAGCCTCGATGATAGATACTATGAGAAAGAAATGCAAATAACATTTTCTGAATAATATCTTTTTCTAGAAAGCTTCTGCAGTGTTATAACAACAAAGAATTTATTTCCATGTTTAAATGGAGGTGTTTTATAGAAAAACTGCATTTCTTTTGAAATCTCTCATAATATATTGTTAAATAACAAGCCCAGTATGGCCAAAGATTATTACAGTTTTAGTTCTTCCATTGCATGAAAATTCCCCTTGATTTTATTAATACTGCAATGCTATCTATTGAGCAATTGAAATAATTGATGAATTTTTGTTTGAGTGTAGTTTAAAGAAATTAATATACAGGCTGTGCGCACACTTTTTAGACAATTTCATTGTATTTACAGAAATATTTTACTTAAAATTATTTTTGTTTTAATTGTTCTAATTGATAAACTTTATTCTTCACTATCTTAGTGCATTGTAATTTCTCATGCCTTTTATAGAATTGGTAGAGGTATTTTATCCCATTTCTCTTGAACAGCTTTCCAAAGTCCAAAGAGGTGTTTGTAGGTTGACATTCAGATAATTTGAAAGTCCAAAAGCTCAAAAATCCATTGTTATTATATACCAGAATATTTAGAAGGGATTTTAGAAAATCGTCTAAAAAGTGTGAACAGCCTCTGTACAATAAAATACATTATGAACATAAACAGGTTTCTAAATGATAAATAATTGTAGGTCATTTACTGCAAGATAAAGACTTAGCTATATGCTTGGAATTCTAATAATTCATTTTTTATTTTTATGTGAAAGAAGTTTATCTAATTACTCCATACATTTAACTGTTAAGTCCTTTTTCATTTGATATGGCAAAAATATATGCAAATTTTACTATGCAAGATGTTGTTTTGAAGGACTGTGTATCTTGTGATATAAGTTTGCATCAAAAAGTGCAGAAAGATTTGGATTCTTGTGCCTTGATTTCTTATTAATATCGATTAATGAGTAAAAATGGTTAAATTAACAATGTGATACATAAGAATTCAGCTTGAATGCCTAGCAAATATAAGTATTTCTGTGCTGCGATATTAATTTTAAAAATATGCAGTGTCAACAAGATTCCAGAAAAGAAATGCGTAAATTTTTGGTGGCATCACTAGATAGTAAGCAGGGTTAAAGTGCTAAAGATTTTATCGGCATTTTCAAAAATGGGGATTTTGTTAGAAAAAATGCAGATTTATCTGAAAGATACTGTTAATTTCTAAATTATTTTAATAATGATGAGCACAAGGTCATAATTTAATAATTTATCAAAAGTTAATCCATTTGATATTATTAATGTTTTTTCAATTAATATGTAGTTATTGGATTTCTTTAAAAGAAACAAAATACCACTGCAAAATCCATAGAGCTGTTATGCTACATACTCCAGATAATCTGAATTTTCTTAATTTGGATTCATTTTTTAATGTAGGCAGCAAAATTCCGATTTTCATTAGGTCCAGAATGTTTAATTTAACGGAAAATTTTTCTAATATAAATATACTAATAAACTTTTTTTAACAAAAGTAACAATTTTTATAACATACATTAAGTATAGAAGCTAATTTATTTAATAATTGAAGCTATTTAGCAGTTTTCTGCATGTCTTTTAATATTAATTTTGAGTTTATGTAATTAACATGTATAAAAGAATTTATTTATCTGCAACGTTTCGTATTCTAAGTTCTAAATGAAATGCACAAACAATCCAAATTTTATACAAATTTGGAGGATGGGTGGTGATAAAAAGAAGAAACAGAACTCAGGAAACCTGTAATCTGCAAAATTCAGTAATCCTCACAACCTTAGTATCAAGATGTGCTGATTGAAGGAATTCAGCTGTGTAATGGTTAATGATCTCATGTCTGAAACATGTAATGATGATATTTATTTTTTATCTTTTTAGAGCTGAATTAAATGAAATCCGCTCTCTTAAAAAATGAGTAAAATTTAAAGTGGAGGAAAAAAGGTTTTGCACTTTATGCCTTGAAGCTATGCTATGACGTTTACAGTTCCAGCCATGTTGTTAATTCTGATTATTACTAACATATTTAAAAACCCGTAAGCAGTTAAAATGTTCTGTGCATCATAAATATCTGAAGAGACTTCATAATTGGAAAGAACTATTAAGTTTAAAAATGCAGCTTTTTCATTTGCCTTGAATTTATGTACCTTTAATTATCAAGTAACTGTTTCGTTTAAATTTAGCTATAAAATTAACTTGTGGTTTATTTAATAAGAATTGAGCACGTATCCCTGTCAAGTGTTGAATATTTTAAAACTGCTTTTCTCACAGCAGCATATTATTTCCTTATACATTTGACTTAAAACACACCTTTGATGCTTTATTCCTCCAAAAATGTAAATTTTGTATTCAACTGATTATCTTATCCACCCTCTTGATTACTATTTTACCATTGTGATATATTCTTATAACAAAGCTTAAGATTAAAAATAAATAGATTTTATTTCTTTGAAGTAGATGAAATGAAATCCCATCCACATATTATGCTAAATTAACTTATATCAATTGCTCTTTTGCATGTTTTTTTAGTGTAGGGAAGGGTAGTGAGTGTAATGTAGTGAGTGGTTGTTATATCATAATGCACTACAATTTTCTTTTGGAAGGCATATATGAACTTACCTGCTTGTACCTGTATCATTAGCAAACAAATATATAATCGTACAGTATTGTTTTTGTTTTTTTGCTTTTGTTTCTTTACATATTATGCTTATTTTCAGATACTTCTAATGAGAATGAATCCAAAGAATCAAGTTGCACTAGTGTCAATGAATCATCTTGCGATGATAGCTGTTTCGTTGAATGTCACCTTTCGCCTAGTCAAACTTGTGAAAACCATGACAGTATTGAAACCAGTGATGCAGTAATAAACAGCATAAATGCTTCTAAATCAGAAAAAAAGCAAAGAAAACGGTCAAAATGTAAAACTATTCGTCGAATAAGACCCAAGGAAACTGAAAGTGTGGATTCGACAGGAAAGTGTAATGCCAAAATTAAACATCATAAAAAATATAAAGATAAACATCGCAGACATCATCACCACCATCATCATCATCGTCACCACCACCATCATCATCATCATTCCAAGAAACGGAAGCACAGGAGACGGAATGTTAAAAATATTGTGACTCGTGGCATTGCTAATGAAAACATTTTCCCATGCAGTACCAAGAGTAAGTCGTTCAAAAACCAGATAGAATTAGAGGTGTGCACAAGCCATGTAGAACATTCCAGTGTTATTAATCTACCTCAAATTGAACAAATGAAATAAGGAAATTTGTTAAAAATATTATGTGAAAATTATGAAATCGTAGATGCATTTTTTATCATGTGTTGGTGAAGAGCCTTAATGTATTTGCAAATATGTAAAAGTCATATAATTACAGTGATGTGAGCAGATTTTCTACATGTGCTACAAAAGCTAATGTAATGTTTTCTACTGCCATTTGCATATTAAATGAATTTTAAGTGATCAGTGAATAAGGTAGATATGTTATGTAACATAGTTTGCTGATGTGTAATTTTTTTTTTTTTTTTTAATTCAAGAAAAGTGGGTTTTTTATGTTTTAAGTTTTTAATAGATTTTTTAAAACTAAACAAAAGGCGGCCATGTCTGTTTGATTTTCCTCAATGTTTTGCTGTTAGTTTATTTAAATTTTTGTGTAGCTTTAGTTTTTTTTTCATAAAAATATAATTACAACTCTAATTCCTTAAATATGAACTTAAAAGGAAGTAGTAATTTTAATCATGATTATAGCAAAATTTTTAAGTGTGAATGATTATATCCTTTTCATATTTCTTATGAACTGTAGATATTATGTATGTTTTTATATATAGATATATAGATATATATATGTATTATTTTATTTATTTTTTCCTGAATTTCATAAAATTATTGAAATAAAATTTATTATAATTAGGGAAAGCTGTCTGTATAAAAATTGCATATTGTTTTTAAAAGTCTATATTTATAGAAGTTTCTTCTCTCATTTTGCCATTTCGTCTTGCTTTTCTGCATAATTTTAATTTATTCATTCATTTAAAGTTTTTATTTATTTATAATGGAGGTATTGTATTGTTTGAGCCCAGGAGTTAGGCAGTTATGAAAGCTCATTTGTAAAATTAATAACTGACTTAGTTGTATAATTGCTGCAAACCTTTATCATTTATCAAAACAGTCATTTGATAATTGATGATTACTTTGTGGTGAAAAATGCTTTAAAATACAACATTTTCGTTTCAGAACTAGGTAGTATATGCCATTCTTACCCACACCTATGAAAGCAGATTTTGTGATTTCTTTAAACCTGATTAGATTTTAAATATATGCATTTATTTCAATTTATAGAAGAAAATATTTAGTCAAGGAGGTTAGAATGGAAGAAGGGAAGGTTCACTGTTTCTTCTATTATCTGAGAATGAAACCTACCAAACAAGCAGCGACCATGTTTGGAAACTTTAAACTTTGCTCTCTGGCTTCATGTACTTGTCTCTATGATGTTCCATGCATGTATTTTCCAGTAAAAATACATTAAATTTCTAATGGAATGTTATCTATGGAAGTAATAGAGAAAATATCTTTTTTTACTATGTAAAGGAAATTATCAAGAAATAGTGCAAAATCCAAATATATATATATATATATATATATATATAACATTTAAAGCCTTTAAAATTATTATTTTATTTCTGCATATTTCAAGGATTTGTGCAAGTTTTTATTATATACCATTTGAGTGTTTATCAACTTTTCCGTTAAAAACGGATATTTCTGATTTCACAATTTTCATAATTTAAAGAATCATATTATGTTAAAATGTTTCAGGAATAGAAAAAGTTATTTTAATATGCTTTTAATAGTTTAGCTTTAAGCTGTAATATACTAAAATAAAAATTCACATGTTTTTTATTGGTTAAAGCAGTGTCATTGAAATAGATCATTATATGAACTAATTTTAGAAGACTGGTACTTTATGTAAATAATATTTTACACGAGGAACAGGAGAAACGTGGTAATTTTGATTCGTCTTCATTCAATCAAATACCTTCATGGAATCATAAAATCCAAAATGTTAAAACAAATAGAGATGAAATTTATCTCTGATCAAATACACAAATTATATTCATAGTTCACAATACATAAAAATGAATAATACACTAAAATTAATTTTATGTATAAATTTTATGATTCATAAAAATTGTAATAATAAATAAATTTTTCATGGAACTTATGAAACAAATTCTTTAAAATGTTCAAATACTATAGTTTAAACCTTAGCATATATCATTGCTTGTTAAGGAACAAAGATACCAGTTATAAACAGAAACAAGACAATGTATTTAATATAATTTGATTCTTTTATTTTTCACATATGGAAAAAAATACAGCACACTGTTATTTTTCTGCATTTTACCAAATTACATAAAAAAATTAATATTTATGCATGAAATGTAACACCAGGAGTTTAAGTTTTATTCATATATCCATATGCAACACAAGATCCCATACTTCAAAAATTTATAAAAACATGGCAGTGACAAGTCACCTTGCATGAGTCTACTGCTTGGGCAAATATAGACGCTGAGGATGAATTTTTTGAGTTGAACCCTACCTCCTTATATTCTAACCTCTTTGTATTTAGCATATGCAGAAAATTCACATGGCAGATATATAATTTCTGAAGATCTGTAATACTGGAGTTGCTGGTAGAAAGAAAGGTAGAAGATTCAGAATTGTTAATTATAAAATAAAAATTAAATATCAAGTGTTTAAAAAACACTTTTGGGTGATAGTTTCAAATCTCATTGAAGATGCTAAAGATGAGAACCCCTTTTTGGCAGATGTTGCCATTATGAGAAATATAAGAACTTCCATGCAGCCTAGAAAATAGCCAGTACTGCTATATTACTATGGAAGATTTTGAATTTATCTTTTAAATGGAGCAGTAAATTGCTTAACAAATTGAGCAGAATAAAAGTACAACAAATGCACTTTTGATTAATTTTAAACCTTTTACTTATAATGCTATGCCAAATTTATATATTTAAGGATGTATTATTAAGATTCGTAGCATAACTGATAATAGATTTTGTAATGTTATTTTGTATGCCCCAATATTGAACCATTTATTGTCCTTCTCTTTTTTTGTTTACTTTTATAGATAAAAGTTACATGAATTAGAATATGAATTTGCATGCTAATTTTATAACTTATATTGGTTGTTTTAAATATGGTTATTAAATTTTTGCATAGAAAATATACTTATTTCAATTACTTTAAATTGTGGATTTATATTTTAAACTCAATACTATCATAAATTTCTCTTGTAATACTTTGCTAAGCACAGTCATACCCTACATAATAAAATAAAAATTTGAAAAAATTGTATTTCCATATCAGAGTATATTCATATTGATATGTTGCTTCAAAATGAGCAGTTAAACATACTTAACATTTTTTGCTTGAACTTCTGGGTACATTTACAATTTTATTTTCTTAATTTTGGATTTTATTGGATTAATGTTTCTAACATTTGTGAAATTTTTTCAAGCATAATTTTTCAAATCAAGATCATTTCATTTTTTGAGTATGTGATAAATGTTATGCTTATTAAATATCTCAAATTTTACAATGTCTTGGTATTTGTGACATATTTTACTTTACATTAGTCATATATAGATATAGTTATTTATTTTATATTGTTTTCTCATAAAGCTTTGAAACATTATGATTTGAAAGTTTGTAGAATTGTTTCTGAATTCAACCAAGTGATATAATCTAAGATAATTTAAGCTTATACTTGTGCCATCAGTCATTTACAGTATAATATATGCTTTCAGATTTTTGATCTGCTTTAACAATATTTAGCAACTTCTTATCCGCTTTATTTTTTCACATTTTAAAATATAAAAATTTCATTTTGACAATCATTTTTATGATGATTAAAATTTTATTTCATGAATTGATATTTTTTTGGAGCTAGGAGTTTCTGCTGTTAATATTTTGATAAAATAAAACTTTTTTAAAAACTAAAAAAGTGTACCATCTAGCAGTATATCTAAAAATGCCTGTTTTTCATTTAATTTCAAAGGAAGCTCGCTTTTTCTGCTATCGAACCTCAGATGTGTAAATTTCATGTTACAGTAACTGATAAGTTGCATTACAGGAAAGTTGGTATAAGAAATGTTCATTTTGTACATATTGATTTAAAAACTTATGTTTTGACATATATATATATACATGTACACAAATACTTATACAGTCCTCACTTATAATCTGTACTTATTGAGATAATATACCCTTTTATAAATGTCTATAATGTACAGTACAAGTAAAATCTTATTTTTTACGAAGAAAGTTAGTTTCTTTCAGTTCTGTAAAAATGTGTATTATACCAATAAACTTCAAAGTATGTGGCTTTTTAATTCTTGGGGTTTTTTTTAAATTAATTTATGTTAACTCCAGACAAATGTCTGTCTAACTGGAAAGATTAACAACAGATTTGAATGACAGAAGTTTTAAATTTTAAAAACGTCTCATATTACTTGGCATTATTTCAAATCAAAGAATGAACTCATAATTTCAGATTTATAATATGCATGATGATCCAAAGCAGGCATGCAAACAATATCCAAGATTATCACAAATTGTTTCGTACATATTTGCTTAAACAATGAAAATCCTTTGTGAAAGATGCTTATGCTTCCATATGTACAAGAATCAAACTAATGTCATGTGATTCTTGCGTAGTGCTTCAGCCAATAATGATTTTAAATTTAGCAACCAAAACTGAAAATTAGCCAATGGGGATTAATCTAAATTGAAACGAAGTCACTATGAAGATATATTTTATTTTCTCTCTTTTACTTTGCTAACGCATTCTGTTCCTTTTGTCTTCAAGTATATTTAAAAAGTCTAAAAGTGTACAGTATAGGTCTCCAAGAACAGATGTGCTTTCTCTGTCAGCTCATCAATGTTTGTTTAAAATGACTGCTTGTCAGTGAAAATAGAAGAAATATTAAACCAGCTGTGATTGCAAGTATCTCAGTTTTCTAAGCTATTACCTAGAAGACTATGGATTCATTGATATCTCTTTAAATAATCTCCTTGAAAAAGCAGAGAATTAATTATTGAAACTTGCAATATACTGCACATTAAATAGCTCAAGGAAAATGTGAATATTAAGCATTTTTTTCCAGTGCACGAGAAATATCGCCAATTATCAGAAATCATCCATAGAGTAAACTAAATTGCAAGGCCTCTGGAGACTGGAAAAATCAGTTGCTAAGGCATGCAAGAAGCATATTTGCTTGTATCACAGGTTCTACTTCAACTATTTTTACAATTTAAATGTTACTGCACTCAGAATCAAAGATCTATAGTTCTATATAAAAAATGAGCATTTATATACAAATTCTGAAATATATGCAAAATAAACCCTAAAATTATCCTAAAAGCCAGTAATAAATAAGTAAATGCACGATATTACAGTTATTCCCCCCAAAAAAATTAAATATTTGAACAATATATTTATTCTATTTGCATATATTAAAAAAATTAACTGCAATAAATCCATTAAAATTCAAACATACAATTTTTTAATACCTTTTTAATTTTAAATTCCAATGTGTGTATGTCCTATGTACAGATTTGCTGCTGTTCAAAATTAATAGAATTTGTGTATTTTGGTTATTTTTCTTGAAAAATACTGAACGAAAGATACAAATTTTGCTTCTAAATAAAAAAAAAAAAAATGTTAGCATTCAGCCTTGCATATGCAATCTTCCCCTTCTCCAAACCCTCCAGAACCTAAATATAACTGTTAGAGTACATATGAATAATATATAGAGAAACGGTAGTTAAAAGTGCAAGTGTCATTTTCCGTGTTTTATTAACTTTCCAAGGTTTCCCACCCCCCTCCAGCAATTTGTGAAATTCAAAAACAGATACTTTAATTGAGTAACTATGAATGTTTGGAAGGAATCTTTGTAAGACTGGAAGCAAGGCAGTCTAGCAATTCGTCAAGTGCAGATTGCTAGACTTGAATAGAATGCCCAGATTGTATACAACTTATGGAAATAGTTTATAGGAAGAATGTTTGGCAAAAGTCATCCAAGAGCCAGTAAAGCTAGCTTATTTGTCCATTGCAGAAAGGTGTAACAAAAGTACAATAGCTTTTCAGCTTGCTCGTGACTTCCATGTGGCTCCAGGAAGCCAAGTTTTCAAAGGTTGCTGTTTCCAAAAGGCTACACAAGAGGTCTCTTTTTCAAGAATACCTGCTTTTTTTTTTTTTACACCTCACTCACTCCTGCAAACAAGAGAGCTCATTTAATATGGTGCGACTTTAAACCAAACATTAGTAGAGAAGTATTAGATCATTCTGAGCACACGACTCGCCTTAACCATCGATTCTTGAGGTACCTTCATCTAGAGTATGGACTCCTAGGAGTTCATTCTGACGTGCAAGGGGTCCATCTCAGCGAGAGAAAAAAAAAAATGGTTTATGAGATGAATTATTGTTCTACAAGACTGAATCCCATTTAAGCAGCCATACTATAAATGCCATTATGCACCTGACACAGATTTTGCTTATAAACTTGCATAATACTTATATAATAAATATATAAATGAACTAATTATTATATTAAGCATATTTCATAAACTTGTGCAAGTAGGTGCCTATTCGCTTTGTGTTGCAGTATTTATAACTTCTAAAAACTTCTGCATTTGATACTAGCAATAATGCATTATGCACGTAATATTCAGTGCCTGCACAATGCATTATGCTCTTGCCCAGACACCTATTAAAGCTTTGCTGGGATGGAGCAAAACTTGTACCACTTTCATGGATTTGTTCAATTTCTCAGTTATATATTACAGTGTCAGAAACAAGAGCATTATTTTTTTATTTTTTTCCCCCGGAAATTTGGGAAGAAAAAAGATAGCAAATATTTTCAAAATTATAAATAGGTAGTTACATACAAAGTTATCAAAGTCATCTTTTAGCAAAGTAATTTAATATACTTTACAATAATACAAATACATAAACTATTCTTTTCGTAATACCTGCAATTGTGTAGAGACACCGATCATGTTTACAATCTCATATAGTTTCTAAAGTTTGAAGTGTACACTGTAGAGTCTTACTGAATTTTTCTTAATAGTTTATATATATATACCAGAAACAACTTTCCTTTAGAAGCTTTCCTTCATTTTCCTACCAGAATGAGTTTTTGTCTGAGAAGGTGTCACTGAGATAAAACAAAGGTTTTAAATGCTTTCATACATTTGGGTTTTCATTATACAAATTTAAAAAAAAATAATAATGGGATCAAATGAAGATAATCAGAAACATAATATTTAATTAGATTTCCTAAATTTTAATTCAGCATTTTTTTTATGTTAAAATCATAGCTTACTAATTTAAACTTGATTATAAAGTGATTTGTGATGAACGTTAAATTTATCTGAAACTGTTATAAAAAAATTTCAGACCATTTTCTTGTTTCTCAAAGTCATATTTCTCAGTTTATTTAATCTTTTTGAAGTGGCGGCGCAAAATCCTTTCAGTTTTTCAGATGTGACAACGATTTTTTTACTCCACACAGAAGGAAAACCTGATGCAACCAGCTTGTTCAACTACTGGGAATAGAATGTTCAGTAAAACACCAGTCAGGTCAATTAGGTTATTAGGCAAAGCACATAAGGACTACCTGTCTAACGGAAAGAAAGAATCTAAGGAAAACAAGCTTATATTCATGTTACCCACCCACGTGGAGAAACACTTTGCAGCTAGCCCGTTCGCCTGACTTCGAACCTGGGATAAACTACAAGTATTTTCAAGTCTATACGCTCAGCCACTGCAAGGGGGGGGGGAACAACAAGTATTTAGCAGCCTTAACCACTCTTGCCATTAGTTGCTATTTCCATTCATTGGAAATTTACTTATATCAAAATGCGAGCAAAGAAGAAAATTATATCCCATATTACAGACTCGTGTGTGTGTATATATATATATATGTATGAATGTAATAAAAAGTTTAATGGCATCAAAGAGAAGGAACTGACATAGAAGCTGATGTTGGCTCTCCTTTAACTTACCTCTTTATACTTGAGAGCCCACCAATGGTAGTTCAGACCTGAGTTCGATTCCAGATGAATGGGATAGCTACATGGGCGTTTGCGTAGTTTTCCCCCCGTGTTTAACGTGTATACGAGCCAATTTCCCTTAGAAAATCCTCCACGAAGGCACCCCTTCCTTTAAGCAGATAGCCCTAGTGTACCTTGGCATAATAAACCAAACTAAACAAAACCTGACGCTCATCCTTTAATCCGTAGCTGAGTATATTAGTGGAATCTTTTAGAAGTAATAAATAAAGTTTTTTAATTTATTAACTGGTATATTTTATAATGCAAGGTTACAGTTTTATATCAGGTATTAAACCTCCATTTTAAAGATCAGAGTGCAAGTAACTTCAATCTTTATTTCATAATTACTATCTCCTTCGCCCGAAAATGTTGTATACACTAGAAAGATTTGTAAAGTTTAATGAAGCTTAAATATGGAATTGCAATTAAGTGTTGCGTTACGCTTAAATTACATGTACACAAATACTTTAGAATAATATAAATAGACCAAAGACTAGTCAAATATCTGAGATGTAATTGGCTGGTGTTTGATTTTGCCCAGTACCGATCCTAGACCAAAGGACGCCCACGTGCAAATTAAAACTGGCTGCCCTTTTTACAGAAATATAAATTTGTTTGGTAATCAGTTCAGTACCCTTAAATCTGGCCGCCCACGTGCTCCGCACCTTCTTGCCTTCCTCTAGGATCGGCCCTGATTTTGCCTTTATCAATAACATCAACAACAACGTGGTGTGATTGGAAAGTTGTAATGCAGGACCACCAGTGCTAAAAGTAGAAAGACCTCCATGCCTAAAAAGAGAGGGTGTGGGTTTAACCAACACCACCTAGAACTAACTCAAGGCCACGGCGCGCAGTTCGTGACGTCACTGCAGTAGGGATACTTTCGTCCTCGCCAACTTTAAGGGTGCCTTCTTAAATATCCATTTGACAGGCTTATATAAAATCTGAAATTTTTATATTTAATTCTTATCGTTTATAAATATGGAAAATACCTTGCTTTCATTAGAATGTGAAGAACCGAGATTTTTATTTTTAGAATGTTTTCGATACGAATAACTAGAATTTTTAATTCCATTAAAAGTTATTACTGATGTTACTAAATTTAATCGCTGAGAAACTCTTGTTAACGAAAGAAACTTCACACTTAATGAATCGGAATTTTATTTGTACGCAATAATTAAACAGAAAGACAATTTAAGACATGAAGGCAGGTTGAGATAAATTCTAACTGATTTAAAATATGAAGCTAATTTACCTGGAATCATGTAGCAACATAAAATCGTTAGTTGAAAACAAATATAATTAATCAGAGATGTTTATTGGTCAAGGGTCGTATTAATTATACTTACAACAATTTATGCCTTGACTAATAAACATCTTTGATAAGTATAAGTAATATATCTTATTTTTGACATATGTTACCGAATAATAATAAATACTCATGTTTGAAACAAATAACGCTAAGCTTGCAACGATTTAAATAAGTTTTTATAATTATTTGAGACATTAGGTGCACAGAGAGAATTGCATATTATTTTGCATTTTAAATGGCAAATATCAAATCTCTGATAGAGGTCTGATATAGATCTAAATAGCTAACCTCTGATCTTTACAGGGAAATTTTATAACATGGTTTAGCAGTATTGTGTGGAAGGCAAATGTAACAAATCCTAAACTGGGATATTGAACACAACAAATGAAAAACACAACTATCATTGCATTATTACTGCCGAATAAAATTACTAACATATAAATGCCCTTAGGATGCACTAAATTATACATTACAATTCGAAACAATTTATACAGAAATACTTTAGATAATATGTATATGCTTATTTTCAATCAGTCAACTAAAAAGAGGAAGGATTGTTTTCAATCAGTCAACTAAAAAGAGGAAGGATTGTTTTCAATCAGTCAACTAAAAAGAGGAAGGATAGAGGAAAAGAAGAAAATCATCGAAATTGTCTTTGCAGTCAATTCAGAATTATTCAAAACTGTCTGTAAACGGGGAACGATAAATATTGCTTTTTTTTTTTTTTATCACAGACTGCATTTCATCAAATAAAAATGTATGGCATAATATTTCATAAAGACTACATTTCTATCTTTAGAAAGAATTTAAATTGTAGTCTTTATGAAATATCATGCCATACATTTTTATTTCCATACGTATGTATATGCATGCGTATATATGTATGACAATATATTCGATTTCTTTGGAAAAAAAAAATTGCTTCGACATACTGATATACAAAATATACAATTAGCTACCAAAGATGATCATAACCTTTGAATTGTCCGAGGGTGAGGAGCCAAAATACACCCAGAACTCCTTAAAAATTTATAAGCATGGGGTGAAATTGTACATAAAATACTGAATAGTATCATACTCTCTGGAGAATACCGTAAGTTTTCTTTGGATGTATTAATTAATGTTAATTGCTCCCTAATGAATTGTATGGCTTTCTGCTTATTTTCATCGTATTGTTCTTCAATATTTTCTAAAGTTTCACAAACAGAATTTATTCTTAAATTCTGCACATCACTTTTAAATTCATATGACAACAAAGCGTTTAAAATAGAAATTACCTCATCTACATTGCCAACAGATGCTGGCAAAGTTAAATTATTAAATTTTTTAAGTTCAGTTTACCCAATGTAAACTGAAAGTTCAAGTTTTTCGTTTATTAATGCTGAAATATTTATTTCAGGGCACGGTGTTAGCTCAATAATTAAAAAGATAGCTTCCCGTGCTCTTTTAATACAGTTCCACAAGCCAGGTAGCTTTCCTTTTCCCATCTTATCTAAAAATTCAGAAAAAGAAGAAAAGGATTTTTCTTTTTCATTCGTCTGAAACTGGGATATACTTTCAGTTACAGCCCACTGAAGATTTTTATTTCTAGCCTTTTACGACGTTCATCTGGGCTTTCTCTCACGATAAATTCCCTTGAAATATATTTGGGCAGTTTGGGAAAATACTAGGAATCGCAAAACGTTTTAATTTGTACCTCGATAAGGAAGCAGTCACCTTCCTTCCAGTCCTTTCATCAACGAATTCTGTACATTTTGAAATGTCCTCAGGGTGAAAATGAAGGGCACAAACCTATCAGCAAGAATTTGTATACATTAAGTTTTTCGGCTTTAAACTGAGCATACATTATTAAATTTCATTAAATTTGTAGCATAAAATAATACAGGTTAAGTTATTTTAATTATGGCAAAGCCTCGAGGGCTGTCTGCCTAAGGGGAGGGATGCCTTCATGGAGGACTTTCTAAGGGAAACTGGCTCGTATATACGTTACACATGGGGAAAACCCCGAAAACACCCATGCAGTCAGCCCGTTGGCGGGATTCGAACCTCGGACCGAACTACCAGTGTTCAGCGACTTAACCGCTCGGCCGCTGGTCGGCCACTAAAATAATATAAGTTAATGTTTATTCACGACTAATAGAAAGAAAATCATACTTATCTATTAATTGTATAAAGTGAAACAGGTACTAGTTTTGAAGAATAATGTCTAATTAGATAGAAAAATCTTTTGTCAAATAAAGTGTTGCATAAATTTAATTATTTACTTACAAAAAATACGAAACACTTGCATGCAAAGATTGTTATAATCGGATTTAATTATCTAAACTAGAATTAAATACAAGATTTTGTAAAACTTCATATTTAATTATTTATGTTATATTAAGTGAATTTTGAGAATATCAGGCATGAACTCACAAAAATTTAAATAGCGTATTTTTTCGCATTAACATCAGAAACAAAATTGGTATTAGTTACAGAGATATTATCAAGATTTTTCAAGGTCTTCGGATTTTAATAAATACGCTGTTCCTGTGACAAATGTATCAAGATATTTAAATGCAAGCATTTTGCAACATACAAAATGTATTTACAATTTTGAATTTTTATTAATCCTACATTTAATCTAATCCTACTTTTAAGTCACCATTTGTTTAATTTACTTAACTTGGTAAATGAGCTGCTATTTACTACAAATTGACTAGCATGACGATAAAGAATGCCATCTGCTATGGATTGAACGATTAGCATGATGATAAACAGTTACTATCTGCTATAAATTAAATTCATAGTATGATTAAATCATCATACTTATATAATCACTATTAGACTTACAATAAGATTAAATATGTTTACTTTCTATAAATGTATGTACTCGCTTTAGTTTATGATAATTATAACATACTTAACACAGAAAGCACTTTTTAAAGCACAGATAAGTATAAACTTATTCATTAAAAAAAAAAAAAAAAAAAAAAAAAAAAAAAAAAAAAACGCAACTTACCTTCGAAAATTTTGTTGGCTTGAAATTGCTTCTATGAATCGCCTTTTATCCATTTATTTAAGAATTCTTTCTCTTTCGGAAAAGAGAAAAACCTGTACTTTTGGACCATTTGGATAGTTCCCTTTACAGTTAGGTACACAGCATGTGTAAACCATATCAAAAATTTGAAAAACAAATAATAAAGTGGAATACTTATAATATAGAAATATCTGAAAAAAGAAAGAAAATGTCGACTGTTCTTATGGACGATTTCTGACCAAGTGACCGTCAAAACTCCGGAAATCCACCCACCACAGTCCTGGGTGGGGAGAGTTAAATGAAATACAATCCCTACTGACACTGACGTCACACCTCCTCCTGGGAAACGCGCCGTGGCCTTCAGTTAGTTCTAGGAGGTGTTGGTTTAACCCATGAAGGTAAGAATGACTTCCTACCTGCATGGAGACCTCCATGCCTAAAAAGGAGGGTGTGAGTTTAACCCATGGGAGTAAGAATGACTTCCTTCCTCCATATGGTTTAACCGAGAGTGCAGAACGGGATGTTTGAGGGAAAGGAAGCCCACCGATTTTGCAAAAGCAAACGTTTCACCGCCAAAGAGATGTTTTGATTGGATGGGAAAATGGCCATTTGTTTATTAAGAACCGCGAGAATAGATTTAAAGGGACCTTGACAACAAAAAGATGGGATGTCCGTGTGGACGAAATTCCTCATGTTAAAAACAAACTTCATCAAGAAGGATAGTTAACAGCTACTTCACAGTGTTTGTTCACAAGAGGCTTACAAAATTTCAGACGAAAATTAATTCTATGTGTATCTTATATTTTCGGACGGAGGGAGTGTTCTTTTCTTTCCTGCTAAGCGTAGGAAAGATTGCATTCAAATCAGCGATATCGAAAAATGCGAAGTCAAGGCCGAAGGAATCACTTTATCTCTGAAGCAACATTCCGCTGCGGTTTCGAAGATAATCCGAATAATTTTTTTTTTTTTTTTCTTTTTTTTCTTTTTAATTCGGTACTTATCAAAGATGATAGTGCGAATTTTAGTGTGCCGAAGTTCTGTTTAAATAGTCACCGGTGAAACAATACTTTTGTTAGCTATCTGTTTGTTAGTAGAACTCCAATTATCGGAATCAATTGGGACCGAAACCCCATTCAGGTAATCAAAAATTCGGATAATTGGATTTTTTTCTGAAGAAAAGGTTTGCGTACACTTTCATTAATTACTGTGTGTTGATAATGGGAGAAAAAACTATTTTTAAAGAAAACGAGGTTTTAATTAATTAAAACGAAAAGACATGTTATATAGCTTACAGTACAGTACTTACAAGTGCTGAAAGTCATTGCTTGTTGAATATCTGAGTCAAAGTAAGCTGTTTGACTGTCTTCACCCATTTTCAAGCAGCCAAGTCGCGCATCCGTTTGACAATGAGAAGTTGCATGTGGTCACACTCGGGCTGACGCTCCATCCACTTAAACAGCAGGCAAACACTTTAGCAGCTGATGGTCCTGTGTCTGCTTCATCTTCGACATTAAAGCCATCTTCCTCCTCGAAACTTTCTTTTCTCACACTTTCAATACATTCATCATCATTTAGAATTTGAAACCCAGGGTTTGATGAATCACACACCATCCATTCTGCTGTATCCTCAGCATCCAGGAATTTCAAAAGAATGTTTCTTAATTCCTCAAGTGACGCGTCATCCTCATCTTCTCCTGTCTCTTCCCTTTCCTTTTCTTGAGTGTCTTTTTCCTTTTTCTGCTTTTCCTTCTCTTTTTCAGTTGATTCTGAAATTCTGAAAGCGATTCGGATAGTCGGAGTTTGGATAATTGGAGTTGTACTGTACTGCAATTCACCATTTTTCAGTTTTACATCCCATAGTTCATTTGTTGTTACCGATGCACTCTAGCCCGGCTCGCTGGCGAGTGTTGTCATGCCAGTGTCTGTAACCTGTAGCCCGATATCATCAGTTGGTGACAACTTTGGAGAAGGAAAAGTTCCAAGGCAGGTATAGTAATGACCGTAAGTATACTTTTATAAGCTTACTTACGGTCATTACTGTACCTGCTTTGGAACTTCGCTTTCTTCAAAGCTGTCACCAACTAAAAACATCGGGCCACTAGTTTACTAAAGGTCCCTCACCAGCCGCTACTGTAGTAGGTATTGTAAGCAATATTCGTAATGCAAACCCAAAGATTTGGTATGAAGGCTTGTAATTTATTAATGATTATGAACGTAGCGGTTTCTATTGGAAGTTTTGCGTCGTCAGGAAGTAATGCTTTGGCTATATCTAGTTCTATCAAGAACACTTATAGAAACATGGATAACTATACTTTTGCTGTAAATTTGATTTACGAAAATAAAGCAATTATAGCGTTCACGTGTATGCTTTCTTTTTGTCCCATTTAATACAAAATAGCCTGTATTTCATTCTGAATACTTTTATCACAATAGTGAACGTAAGTTTCTTTAAGCGCTAATCGAGATAAATGTTCATTCATTGTTAAATCAAATTTTCATTCAAGTAGCTTATAAGGTATTTCTCCCGCCTTCCTAGCCTGCCTTCGTGGTGTAGTGGTCAGCACACTGAGCCGGTATTTCAGAGGTCCGTTGTTCGATTTCCGGCGAAGACGATTGCTTATTTTTCCTCTCTCCCTCTTCCAAAAATCCTAATGACTCTACAGTGGCGACCGAACTAAAAGGGTGGTGGAAGATGATTCTCCCCACCCAGGATTGGGCCATGGAGGTAGGAAAGGGAGGAGGGGCCATTCCGCGCTAGAAGTGAAGCACTGCTTTGAAGCTTGGGTCACCAGACGGGGTGTTCTTTGTTTACATTCAGAAACTCGCTTGACAAGATTCTGATAGTATTTCGACACACGACAGTTCCATAGAAATCGAAAAAGGGACACTCTCGCATGAAAGAAACATTCATAGTGTAATGGATAATAGCAATTTGTATAGTTTACTGACATTTACGCAAAATCACATCTTGGGTTATTTTTCGATAACTAACAACGGCGATTTTGATTAGGAATTTGTTTTATAAAATTCTAAGCTGTAGCACTACAAAAATATAGATTTTTAAGAAAATTGCTAAAAGAGAACTGCCAAAATTTATTTTCTAGAAGATTTGAAAAGTTTGAAACTTGATGGTTAAATGTAAATATAAAATTATGTATGTTAAAATATTTGTAATTAGGCACATAGGTCAGATTAAGTTTTTATTAAATAGAGTAACGCATGCAAGGGCTATCTGCCTAAAGAGAGAGATGCCATCGTGGAGGAATTTTCAAGAAAAACTGACCTTTGAGTGGGTATTAAAAATAATACTTATAATTTTCATTCAAATTATATTCATATATATTTTTTATGTAAAACTTTCGGGTGTATGCTAAATTAGTGTGAATTACTTTACACGAAAAATATAGTGAATGCACAGAAATTAAAGATTTGCACATGCCGGAAATGATAAATAGGAAATATGTATGGGTATTTATGCATGTGCTTGCAAAAAGCATGTATCTGCCTTTGACAAAATACTTAAATATTCACTAAATTATTTATAAATGTATTTGAAATGAAGAATTTATTCACTTCTAAACAACTGTGAAAGTACTGTGAAGAAATCTAATGATTAAATATATCTAATTTATAATGATTATAAATGTTATCTAAATATATAATAACCTTAATATTGAATTGTAAACATAAATTGAAATCCTGTTGACAAATACGTTATAAAACTATTTAAGCAAGAATTGTTCGTATTGGAAAGCAATCTGTTAAAAGGTATTGTAAAGCAAATGCTATGAGATGCGCACTTAAGAACGTAATAAAGAGTTTTGGAATATGTATTGTTGAAATGAAGGGTAAAAAAAAATCTGATAAGTATAATTAAAAGAATTATTCTCTTTACATTTTATAATAACTCAGTTACAAGTTTTAAATAATACCTTATTTTATTCCCTTTCAGAAATGTTCAGAGAAAGTCAAATACTATTTAATACCTATTTAATTATTAGGAATTAGCGAAATACTTATTTAAAGTATTTCGCTAATTCCTAATAATTCTCTAATTTAAAATGAACCGAATAGAGCATTAATTATAAATTGACTTACATTTTTCGATTTAAAAGAAGCCAAAAACTCATGTCATATTTAAGAAAAGTATTTTAGGAAGAAGCTCTATAAATAGAAAAAAGAAATAATGCATAATTTTAATATTAATAATACATTAAACTTTGATCTTAATTTTTGTACCTTAACCGAATAAAAATCGAATTACCTTAATTTTTTTTTCTAATGTAATTAACGAAAACTTGTGAAAATATTTCATTCAAATTAAACCATTCTGAGAAAACTGTCCTGTGAAAAGTATAGCATTTAATTCCGTTCAGAATGAAAATGTTTAAAAATATGTTGTTTTCACATACTTAGGACTCTGAAGTGTTGTAGAAAAAGAAAATATATACATTTATATGTATATTTGCGACGTAATTACAAAATATTTACACCCTAACGCGTCAAATCCCATAGAACTCAATGGTAAATGACCCAATGTTTTGGTCACCACGTAGGGATCGCCGGTGCTTCAGAGCAGGGTACGGAGAAACTTGTTTAGGGCGACTCCATCTTACTTCCTACCTCCATGGATTGGGCGATTGGGTCCCCTAAAACCCCCATTCGCCCTTTAAGAAATCTCTAGCACCTTCCCTTTCTCGAGATTACTGCAAGGCATATACGGTAACAGTTACATGTAGGTATCAATTACAGTTATTCAATTACACTAACTACTTATAATAGTTATATAAGTGCTGGCTGAGAATGACGCCAAATAGTCGCCTAGTTTGGCGATTTGGGTTATTTCTAACCAAATTTGGGGACAATAATTAATCGCCAAAAATCATCGCCAGCTGGGCGATATCTCGCCAATTTAGCGAGATAGTAATTTACTCAATATTAAATAGACTTGCTCCTGTTATCTTGTTTATCCAGCAAAGCTTCGTCTCTTCAGACTTCTCATGTTATATTATGCAGAATTCGTAATAATATATATATGGATTGCAGCATCGAATCGATGTTATAACACGATGTTGTTCGTGTGTTCCCCCCCTCCCATTTTTTATGACAATGTATCACAGTGTTTGTATTCCTTTAGACTTATTTCATTTTCCCCACAAATCGAGAAATGCCTCCAAAAACGTTATCCGGCAATAAAAACGGAGGAAAATGTTCTTTAATAATAAAAAACAGTCAAGAAATAAAAGCATCGCAATTTTTAAGTTCTAAATCAAACAGTAGGAACAGTGCAGACTCAACTTCTTTAATTACATACTATATATGTACAGACAAGTCATCTAATGACAGTGAGGTCAGACCCACTAAGATTACTGTACTTTCTGAAGAAAATAATAACTGCATACATGAATTAAAGAGATGTAGATTACAATCGTAATGCGGTTTAAGGCTTAGATAGTAACGTCACACTCACAGCCAGGAATACTGGTAATGTTTGCTTTATTTAAATATTTTACGGAAATTCTAAAATTTACAGGTTTTGAATTTAATTTTGGGTTCTTTGTGGTTTTGGTTCTAATTTTTTTACTTTTTGTTTATAACTGTTTAATTTTCAGCAGCATATCACGCTTAAATAAATTGCAATAATTTTGTTTTAAATTAAAAAAAATATACTGTAATATATAAATATCTAATTGCAAAATAAAAAATCATAATTATAGAATAATTAGGACAAAAGATTAAGCAGTTTAGATTGAAAAATTTATTAATTTAGCAAAATAAAAAATTTTTTACTGGAGAAAGATTATATTATTCTGGAATTTGAAAAAGTATTGTAAAAAAAAAAAAAATTTGTGAGTAAATTAAGAATGCGTCATTCCAATCCTTTAAAAAATATTCAAAATAAGCATTAAATTTTTTCAGTTTTTTTTCTTATTTAAAAATTTTTTAAGCACGAAAAATAATCTGTAAATTAATTATTCATTATTTAATGTTCCAGTTAGACTCATCAGTGCATGCCGAATTAATGCATTTTATTTCTGAACAAAATAGTTCTTGAGAAGCATATCTTAATTAAAAATTATGCACGACACTGGGCGCAGAACATTTTTACTCTTACGGTATATACAGTGGAGGAAAGAGAGAAGTGAGTGGTGAACGCTAACTAGACAGAAAACAGAGTAGGAAAATTTCACACATTTTTGAAAAAAAAATCAAATGTAGGGAAAAAAAAAAAAAAAAAAATTCAGATTTTACTTTGCGCCCAAAGGGGCGTTTTTTAAAACGTTTTCTGTGTTACCGTTATTTATTAAATATCATGTTCTTTGCACTTAAACCATAAAATTCAATTCAACAGCAATATCGCAAAATAATTTAAAAAGGAGCATATCTTTAGAATTTCCAATGCACAGACTCGCGCGCTGGAGATATATTGCCCCCTCCCGTGCAATGTTGCCATTGCTCGCTTTAAAATCGCTGAGTTTCTTAATCAAAAACTCATAAATGCCGTACAAAATATGAAATCTATAATAAAATAAATTTAGATGCCCATATTCGGAGAAGGATTACGTTATTCAAAATTTGATGTCTCTACCGTTGTTTTAACACAATGCGAGAAACATGCATACATTTATGCAGATTCTTCATTAGTTAATTTCTTTAAATGTAACACAGGGCGGTAATATTTGGTTGCAACAGTTTGAAAAATGAATCGAAGCAAAATGCCAAAACGAAATTAGCTCTTCTGAACTAACGCTCCTTTGGGCTAAAAATTCAGCAAAGCTGTTTCGTTTATTTATCTTAATTTTTTACTCTTTTTGCATATTATATTTAAAATGAGCACTGGTGTAATATCTGCAAGTTAATTCAGATTTCATAAATGAGGGAGATGAAATCAAAGAATGAAGGGGAATTTTCTTATTTATTATTCTGAGGAGTAAAAGATTTTTTTTTCGACATATTTATCAGATTAAAAGGTTTTGTTTTCAACAAACTATCAGGGTGAAAGATTTTTGTTTTCGTCAAAGACTAATAAAAATACATTTCTAAAGGTACTTTTATCGGGTTTCATTGCAAAAATAAAGGTAAAAAGGAGATTTTTCCTCAGAAATGATATACAGTTTTTCCAAAAAGTGATTTTACCTTCGTACGATTATCTAAACAATACGTCATTCAAAAACATTAAACAATGAACTAGAAATTTTATTTGTTCAATGTGAAAAGTATAGAACGATGATGTACCTCAGGCACATTTCTAAAGAAATTAAATATATTGATACGGCGTTCACACAGTATAGTGGTTAAGGGAACCTTACTACGATACCGAAACGGCCCGGGTTCGAATCCCGGAGAAAGCACGGATGTAACATTGTTTCTCTCTTCATAAGAGTTAACGGTGGTCGCCTATTAGGTGCCTCCACAATAAAATGGCCACCACTTCTGGGCCTTAGGAGTGGCCAGCGCCGTTATAGACAAATGCCCGCCATTGGAGGGGGGGGAATGATGCTATCATAAAAAATCAAAAAGCGTTTTGATGTTATAGCATGGGTCAAAAAAGTATTCGATGCTTTTCTAAAATGGCAACGAATAAGGTTTTATGTTATAATTAATATTTTTAGGATGTCTTTTAAACTCAATAACAGCCTTTCAGTCTGAATAGCCAGCTTACAACTAGTTTTTTATTATAATCACTTTGTGCTTTATACTATTTTTCCTCTCAATGTTGTGTTTACCTTCTTCTTTTTTGTAGTGTCGTTATTTCTGATCCTTCGACCTGATTCTTCCCATAAGTGTTCAATTGGATTTATGTTTGGTGACTGTGGGAGTGTTTCAAGTACTGACTCATAGTAGCCGGCGGAAACAAGCTGAGTGGCTAGAAGCATTCAACGCCACAAAATCAAATCGCAAGTAAGTCAAAGTAAGCCCTTCTTGAAGCAGGCATAAGACGCTCTAAAGGAAAGTTGCTTTAACCAAAAATTAACTATTAGTCAAAATAAATGAATCTCCACTACCTTATGGTTCATTATATTATTTCTGTTTAAAATTGGCGTCGACCCTGCTTTTCTGTTGGTTGGAGATTTCTCAATTCAAGTTCTTTATTTGGTTGTATCCGTACCTTACGATTACTGTCTGCTCCAAAGCTTATTATATTTACTTTCATCACTAAATATAATCCTTCTTTCAAACGTCTAGGGGCTCGTTTACATATTTTTTCACAAATGATAACCTTTTCTTTCTACTGACATCAGACACATACTATTTTTCGGACATGATCGTTCTTTATAACCAAACCCTTTAAGGGTATTTCTTACAGTTTGGGTACGAATATCTTTTTTAATCGGTAGTTTCAATTCTAGACCACTGCATTTAATGACTCGTATAGAAATTGATAAAGACTACAACAAAAGAAGGTTAGCAATAAATAATCAGAATTATGTTATGTCATTATAAAGGCATTAATTAGTAGAGTCGAATACTTTTTTCACAAACTGCATACTATGACTTCCAAGCAAAAATTATTTAAGTAACTTTACAATAAAATATACTTCTCGCCATGTAGTAAAAAGCTGATTCATTCTTTGGTTTCCTTTTTTAAACTGTCTTCATGATTGATTAATAATTTGCATTTGTATCATTGTGATGATTTCTATTTTCCTGTTGGGAAAGATCTTTCCTTTGAATTTCTGCTATCAAAAGGATTTCATAGCAACAAATACATTTTTCTTATCTTCAAAAACTCAGTGACAAGGGTAAAATCTTATCAGTTTCTTCTAGACAAGACAATAATTTTCGTTAAACATTGTCAGACGATAATTTTTTGCTTATCGGTTCGTCTTCCAACAATAGCCCTCCTATCTTACGTGCGCATGAAAGCAACAGGATAGTTATAATCCACGTGGCCAGTTGTACCTGTTCCTAAACGAGAAGAATAGTTTCCAAAGAAACGAATCTGCATGAGGTACAATTTTAATTACAACTTAAAAACATTAAAAGTTATAGTTTCTAATTTCTATTTCTAGAACCCAAAGACTAAAACTTACATTGCACTGTGACCCCTTGTAATAATTTATTTTATTTATTTATTAAAAGCACAAAAGAATGCTAATAAATAAATTAAATAAAGAGCGAAAAAATATTGTTCGTTGAAACATAGATCGGAAACTAGCGAACATTGTTGCTAATAGACGAGACATAAGGTCTTTTATTATTCTCTCATTTTGCCAGTTAGAAATAATCATATTTATCAATATAGGCCAGAAACAAGACTGCACATTGTTGGCAATCGATAATCCATAAGATCTTTTATTGATCTTAAATATCATGAAAGTATGTTGCTCATCATAGTAAGAAAGTAAGAAACCTAATCATTTTTAAAATTGTTGCTTTAAATGGACGCACACTTCGTAATGCTTTAGTCAAGAATAGCCCGTACTCATCAATCATTTAAACTCCTTTCAGACGGTGGCGTAAATGTCATAGAGACATACTCATAAGGCATAAAATACGGGAGTTCCCTTCACACCTGCGAGACAAGGTCTAAGTTGTAGTCAATTAGATACCAAAGCTAAATATGGGCATGCGTTGGATGTATCTACAGCTTTCCCGCTCCATAAGTTTCCCGCGTTTGCTCTGATTGCTCAACTCTTAGGTTCCAGTCACAATATGTTTCGGCTACGAGAGACTTGACGTCGAAAGAGACGATTCTCAGAATGCACATATTTCCAGTAAACCCATGTAGCTAGGTTACCATTTTCACTTACTACAAAGACTTGAACGCCAAACGGTAATCGATTATCGCTCAGATTGGGATCACGTGATCCTTCAAAAGCAGAACTTTCGTCTGATTGTTTGATCTCTACGCGGGATACGGCTGCAGCCGAAACATTTTCGACGAGATTTCAAAAATTCCCGCGTAGCCGGTACACCGTTCCAGTAGCTAGGCGGGACTTCACTTCCAGCAGGGCTCTTTTTTCTAGCAATCCTCTCGTTTAAACCAGTACTACCAGAATCTCGTTTCTCAGAAAAATCCCGTCTAGCAGGGACCGTCGACGGTTGTGATAACCTCTTATTATGCTAAGTCAGCATAAAGTTGATAACCTTGAACTTTATGTCAAAACCCCCAAACCAGTTTGTGTGAACGTAGCAAGGTCTAGTTGTCTAGCAACGAAGCTCGGCTTAAATCAGTTATAATATTTATACCACAGTCTCTTCGCCGAGAATGTAACCTAAGGGACATTGTAAAAAAATAACGATACCTAGAGTCATCAAATTTTGAATAATGAAGTCCTTCACTCGAAAATATGGGCATTTGGAATTTGTTTTATTATCTATTTCATATTTGTAAAACTTTAACGAATTTTGTATTAATTAACTCAACGATTTCAAAGCGAGCAATTGCAACACTAAGCTACTTGGCTTTCGTGCAGCAGAAAATAGCTGCACACATAAAAAAATTATGGAGAACTTTATAGCAATGAGAAATGTATATTTAAGTGAGGTTTTTCTTTATCTTTGACCAGTTTAAAATTGTGGATAGAAATGTTCCTGCATCACTACTCACGCCAAATGATGCTGTTAGAAAAATACAAAATTAATCTTTCTGGCGCTAAATTTATTTTTTATCATGTTTCAGTAATAGAATTTAAGTTAATACTTGTGTTACCAAGGAAGTAGTGCAATAATTTGACAGGTACAACTGTGGATAGATATTCAATGAGAAATCTCAGCGAAATCTGATGAGTCTGTGTATTATTCAATTAATTAAGATTTGAAGAATTATTGTCTTAATTATTATTACTAGCCCAAAGGAGCAATTTGTCCAGAAGCGCTATTAATTTCGTTTTGGGATTTTGCGTTGGTTCACTATAAACGGCGTTTCACTTTTCAGATTGTTGCCACCAAATATTAGAACCCTGCATTATATTTAAAGAAATTAAATAATGAAGAATCTGCATGAATGTATGCATGATTCTTGCACTGTGAAAAAAACAACAGTACCTAGAGACATCAAATTTTGAACGAATTTGTATTTTGTGAACCTTTAACGAATTTTTGATTAAGAAACTCAACGATTTCAAAGCGAGCAATGGCAACACTGTACAGGGGGGGGGAAGCATTTTTATCTCCAGCGCTAGAGACGTGTATCGGAAATTCTTAAGATTATGCTCTTTTTAAATTACTTTGTGATATTGCTGCTGAAGGGAATTTTAATGGTTTAAATGCGAAGAACATTATATTTTGTAAATAAAGGTAACACAAAACGGTAAAAAAAACACCGCTTTGGGCGTAATATAAAATCTGAAAGTTTTCAGTTTTTTTTTAATTATTATTATTATTACTGTATAAGCCCAAACTCATTTTCATTTAAACTAAATTTTCATTCCCCCATCTACTACATCTGAGAATGCTAAGTGAATACAGCTGCAACGCAAATAAAAATAGCATTTACCTATTATCACGTCCACCGTAAAAAGGTGGGAGAGATCCCATCAAATCCCCGCCAATCGTTCCTGAAGAGTTTTGAGCCTCAGTTTTGTCTATAAGCCTTGCAGTAAAGCATTCGTCAGTTTATCTGTCAGCCCATCAGGTCACTCTTGCTTCTGAAATATTCGATCCACTTTCATAAAAAGGCTTTTGTCGATGTTGGCTATTTTGTTAGCTCCACCGATTTTACCGGATGTTCTGTTTAGAATGCTATGAGTAGAAACTTCCTCCAGATTATTGTTTCAATCTATTACTGTTTTGTCAGATATATCCAACTGTTATTTTTATTTTCTTCATTTGATCGATGCTAATTATCTCAACCATTTGCAAATGAACTGGAGTGCAGTCACAAACGTGATTCTACAGTCCTCGAACTGTATTCTGTTTTGAATAGATGTTATCTTGTCACAGATTTCACGTTGCGTCGTCATTGCTTATCCGTAGTCACATCAAAGGAAAGCGCAGAATGAAAGTGAATGAATGCGTTGTGACTTTACGCTTGCTCATACTTGGCACTACTTGGCGATCAGTTTCATGGTAGATGGTATAATACGCAAGTACTATAAAACAATTCAATTACCGTTGATTTCAACTTGAAGAATCTAACAAAGAACCAATTTCATTTCCTCTGTTTGCGCAAGTAACATAGAATCGAATTATATGTAATCATAAGTTAAATTTTATTCTAGCATTTGGCTTGTTAAATTTCAAGACCTAATTACGCGCTATGCAACAGACAAAAGGGAAAACTCAGCAAATCAAAAATTTCCAGCTATCATCGGGTAAAAGCAGAGGTGATGCCAATCCTCTTTCCTTAACTTAGATTCTAACTATATTTAAAACTCCTGTCATTTACATATGCTGGTGGAAACAGATGAAACAGTAGAAATATAGAACAGATTTTAATATAAACAAAAACATATTATTTAAACTAAACCTTACAACTGTACTTATGTATGTCGTTCAAACGCTATTTTTATGTGTATACTAAATATAAACTAATCACGAAAAGTGTTATTTTGCTTGTCATAATTTCGAGAATGGACGTATTCTATGTATCATAATGAAAGAAGGAAAAACTGAATTCCCATCAATCTGGATGAGAAGTAAGCACTCCAAAACATAATAAGGTTGTAAATTTAAAGTTAGACAAAATGTGCAGCCTTAATATGGAGCAGGTTTTGAATTGTCTTCTTTGGAAGAACAGAATCTTCTTTAGTTAATGACATTAATTCCAATGCAATTCTTCCTAACGCTTTCAGAATTCTAATATTTTAGTTTCTCGCGTTTCATTACTTATTTCATCGACAGATGGCGCTACATTTCTGTTTCCTTTGCTTTCCTCGTTGCTTTCGATACGAAACTGTTGTCGCTTCTCCCATCTTCACAGAAAAGTTTTGCTTCTAAAGAAGAGGTATCCTAATCGCCCTCAAAATCAAGTGAGTTTTATACAAATTCTTCGCCAAACTTAAGATTGCTTTTTTTTTTTTTTTTTTTTTTTTTTGTTTTTGTTTTGTTGTTTGTTTATTTGAATTCTAACACTGAATTTATGCTGTAAAGGTCATGTAAAAACGTGTTGCTGTTTTCTTACACTATTCGTATTTTTTTAACTTTCAAACTGAAATTTCAGTAGTATATCTTAATTCTTAAATGATAGAGGAAGCCAAACATAAAATTGAACAAAAATTAGTGGTAGACTGAAGTCAATTTAATTGAAAAACTCTAAAGATCCAAAGGAAAACAGGAAGAGTGCTTCTTCTTTATGGAAGAAAAATCTTCTGAAAAACGCCATTTTTTTTTCAAGAACGAAAAATATTCTTCCTCCTGTTTGAAAAAGGATTTATTCTACTCTCCCTCGAAATCGGCAGATTTGTTTTCCTTTAAACCCATTGCTAATCTATGGCAGATTATTGCTTAATTTTATGTTCTTAAACAATTGTATATTAATGTAAACTTAATTTGAATTTCTGAGAAGATTTTGCGATTCAAGAAATCAAAGAGTTTCAAGGAAGAAAAGCGAAAGAAATTTTTTTTTACATGGTAAACTGAAACTGTTTTCTATTACCTACTGTCATCAATAAAAGAGTATAAAGCATTTTCATTCAACATCAAGAGAATCGAACTTCCTTATTTAAACTAACTAGACTGTCACATTTCCAGGAAGATATCGAATGATCCATGGTTTCTAAAATAATCATTGATTTAAAGTCAGTCAGCTTTGAATGAGATCTCCGCCTATCCATTTTCAAAGCAACCTCAATTCTGAGAGACTGCGTGGTCACTATACAAGCAACAAGCAGTAGATGTCTAGACGTAACAAACTATCAACAAAGCTATTGCTATGGCTACTGAAAAATGGGGACAAAAAGACAATGTCCTTTTCTTGAACAGAAGACAGAATTGATCTTTCGATCGGTGATGCCATGAGGGCTTCTCTAACGAGTTACCTTCTCGTTTGATTAAAATGAAGACGAAGAAAAATTATTAATGCAAGTGATCCAAAACAGCGAGGAGTGAAAATTACCAGATCTTACTCTTTGAAAGTGCATGTTTAAAAGTAAGATCATGAATTAAGTCAATCAATTTTACAATAATGCCGTCTACAAATACATATAAACAATTCCGGCTGGTCCATAAAGATCCCACCTGTAGCATTTCCGGCGTTTTGAGAAATCAGTATATTAGGCATTTCATACAAATTAAACATATTAATATTTCGGAGAATACTGTATCTTTATTTAGTTAATTGAAAGTACAATATTTAATATTTGAAATCCACAGGGTCATTCAAAAGTCTGTGAAACATTTAAAAATTTCCAAGCGCTGTTTTGCACAAAAGTGGCGCTTTCTTGGGACAAAGTTTGTGAGGCTTTTTGGAATATTGTAAATTCTTGAAACTTTTTGGGAATGTATACTTTTGATAACAGTAGAAACTTCCTTTAGGAGACATATGCTGATTTGTGGACGTGTTTAAAAGGATTTGTGCTTGTTCATCAATCCTTATTTCTTGTGGATCAGATTGAAAATCGTTTTGAAATTACTTTTCGAAATGGTTTGCTAAGACTTCCGTATTATTTTTGGAGAGTCAATATTTGAGAGTTTATTGAAAAATCGTTATAATGCTGCTGCCATTATTTTTGATCAGTTTAGCAACTTTCCACATAGTTTGAGCATCGTGTTTTTGTGTTGTGACTTCTTTCACTTGTCTGACGGTAACATCAGAACAAGCCCACGAAATTCATGGTGGCAAGGACAAGATTGCGCCTGTCGTTGGCAAGAGCCTTGAGCACCATGAAGGTGACACTATGACTTCGCTCAGTTCTTAACCCAATTTTGATGGAGAGCACCCCGGAGTGCCCTCATGCCGCACGAACACTACACATGCCCTCTCCGGGATTCGAACCTAGGCCTCTTCTTAACCACTATAAATCCCCTAACTCTAACCACTATAATGGCTTCCACTATACCGGCTTGATCATTGCGCAAGAGTTTACTGAGGGGATTTGTTGTCTGTTCTTTGTTCTAATTTCTTTTTTCCACCCCTGTTGCCTATAACCATAATTTTAGAAAGCGTAAAGTATGGATTGTTTAGAATACACGTTGCATCGGAGACTGTTTGTTTGATTTTGCCTGGTTTGGATTTCGGATTTTGCCTGTTTTGCCTGATTTGGATTTTGTCTGATTTTGCCTGTTTTGCCTGATTTGGATTTTGGTTTTTTGATTTTGCCTGGTTTAGATTTTGGATTTTGGATTTTGCCTGATTTGGAATTTGGATTTGATTTAGATTTTGCCTGATTTGGATTTTGGATTTTGATCTACATCCGCGTAGTGAGGAGTGGAGAGAATAATCGTACCACTTTATTCGATACGAGAGAACAGCAATGAAATAATTTAGCTGGAGAGTTTACATCTGTAACTATGGATGGGATTTTAATCCGTATATACATACATAGGATTCGAGATGGTTAGAAGAAAAACAGCTTTTTACTGTAAACTAAAACAAAATGTTGGCAATATTACTGGCAACAATAACCTTCAGAACATGAGGAGCATTTCCATTCGAATAAAAATGAGCAGAGAATTCTGCACTAAAAACATGTCCTGGTCTAGAGTTACAGTAGCTAAATAAAATATCTCCTTTTTATTTGTATTTCTGCAGCTCCGGTGAGGATGTTTATAGTTGAAATTACCTGTAAGGATAGCGGAATGTAAGTGACTGATGATAAGTCATTATTAATTTTATGTCAACAATATTAAGATTGATGTTTTCTGTTTTATAAATTGACGTATACCTTAAGTTCCAAACTAGAGCATATTTCTAGATTTCTTAGGGGTTTAAGATCTAATTGAATCTTTTTTTTAAAAAAGAATAGATGCATATTAAGGCTACTCTATGCGGTATTTCTCCAGCCTTCTTAGCATGCCTTCGTAGTGTAGTGGTCTGCACGCTGGGAGCGTGTTTCAGAGGTCCGTGGTTTGATTCCCCGCGAAGGCGTTGCTCATTTTTCACCTTGCCTGCTTCCAAAAATACCTAATGTCTCTACAGTAGCGCCCGAACTAAAAAGGGTGGTGGATGATGATTCTTCACACCCAGGATTTGACGACTAGGTCCCCTAAATGGCCCTTTAAAAGGGGGAGTATAGAAGGTATTTCTTCCGCCTTCTTAGCATGCCTTTATAGTGTGGTGGTCTGTACGCTGGGCGCGTATTCCAGAGGTCCGTGGCTCGATTCCCGTTGAAAGCGTTGCTCATTTTTTTATCTTGCTTACTTTCAAAAATACCTGATGTTTCTACAACTCATTAGATTGGCATTTTCTGGCTTAACTAAATTTGCAGCTTAATGAGCCGTAGTGCGTAAACAGATGCAAATACTATGTATTATTGAATTGTATCTCCTTGTATATCTCTTCTCTATCCTGTTTCTTATGTATTATTCTATTATTATTACTGATTTTCTTACATTCTTTACATTTGGAAGGCTTGTTGCATATTTTGCGGAACACGAAATGTTTTGCAATATTTATTTTCTCTAATAAATAAATAAATTAATCAATTAAAATTAAAATAAAAATCTATTTCCAGAGTAAATATATACCATACAATTTTTTTTTTTAGTTGGAAAATTAAGCTAAATATTTGCCAACTGATATATCGTAGCATATCATTAATATCTGAAGATATGCTTATGCCAAGAATATTACGTTTTGAATCAAGTGAAATTGATATGTAAATTGTGTACTTATTGAGAAAAAAGTACTTTTTATTGTAAGCTAATATACGCATTATACACTTTCTTCTAAATTAAAACATAAATTTTAAAATATCTGATTTTTTTTTTTTTTTTTTTTTTTTTTTTTTTTTTTTTTCTTTTTTTTTTTTTTTTTTTTTTTTTTTTTTTTTTTTTTTTTTTTTTTTGTTTTTTTTTTTTTTTTTTTTTTTATTTTTTTTTTTTTTTTTTTTTTTTTTTTTTTTTTTTTTTTGTTTGATTTTTTTTTTTTTTTTTTTTGATTATTCAAATCAACTAATAGAATTTAAGACCGCACAAATAAATTAACAGCAAGTTAATTTTAACTGGCCTCAAAAGAACAGCAAACGATCCAGAAAGTTGGAGTTCTACCAGAATTCATATTGTTTTAGAACAATTTATCACCAAAAACTAGCGTAAATATTTCAATGTCTTAAGCAACTGGATCTTAATGAAAAATCCGAAGCGGAAATAGTATTCCAGTGAAATGAGAAAGTCAAGTTTTATCAGAAATCTTATATTAGAGCAGAAAAATTTTTAACCGTTCTGAGAGCACGAAAATGAATACAGGAGCCTTATCGCTGTGTAATGAACTTTTGACCGTATTTTCTTTAACCTCATTTAAGTGACCGGTCAAGACATCACTGAAGCTGCCCAACCGATACGAGAGTGAAGGCGATCATTTATCGTTGCATTTGTTCTACAGACTACTTTACGATTGTGCTGTAAGAAGATTAAAGACCACTACTTTACGTCCTGTAGAAAGAGTATTTATAATTCCTGCAACATAGCAAATGCTGCCATTATAAGGGGTTTATCTTCCATGCAATTCAGCAAGTAGCCAGATCTCAGAATGTTGTGCTTCGATCTATCATCTTTATCTTTCAAATTATAATTGTACAAATTTAACAAAGGGATCTGAAAGCAATGAACTTGTCAATAATTTATATCTTCCTCTTTTATTCTTTTAATAATATTCGGATTCATTAATTAATATAATTTACGAGTACTTGCACCATTATTGTAATTAACAAAAAGTGTTTCAAACATCATATATTTTAATACATATCTGAGTATAGCGTAATCGAGTGGATGCCATCTAATAATTAGTATGAAATCTTTATTTCGTTTTTAGCAATACATCTCTTTGATATGATTTAGTTAAATGCTAAGCTTAAATAAAATTTTATCGGTTTTGA